ACTACGCCATTTCATCTAGACTAAATTTTCCATAAAGTGATCATGTCATCAATTTATATAGCGATCGGTCTATGTGTGACGCTCCTAGTGGCATATGAAGTCCGAATGCAACTCAATGCAGTGCTCTTTTATTGTATTCTAAAAATATAACCTAAGAGAATCATTGCCAAGAGCTTCAACTTATTGGCAGTACATAAGCACTACCAATGGAAGCGATTGCTTATCAGATACCAGCTTCTGTTCTTCTAGAGACAGGCCCCCCAACACTAGAAGAAGTTGAGAAAGTGGTAGGTAACCTGAAATGAGGAAGGGCAGCAGGACCAGACGGACTACCTGCTGAGGTATACAAGAATGGTGGTAGAGTGCTCTTAGTCAGATTAACGGAAGTGTTAGCCAGTATATGGGAATCAAATACGCTCGCCTCTGACTAGTCTAAGTCACTCATCATCCCAGTCTTCAAGAAAGGCGAGAAGTCCTCTTGTAATAACCATAGAGGAATCAGCCTGACGAACATAGTGTCTAACATTCTAGGTTCTATGATTCTCCGATGTCTGAGTGAAGCTGGGGAACAGCAAGCCCGAGAAAACCAAACAGGCTTTAGACCTGGCCGTGGGTGTATCGACCAAATATTCACACTGCACAAGGTCCTGGAACATAAGCATGCTTACAGATGCCCGACAATAGCTGTATTTCTCGACTTGAAGGCGGCATTTGACTCCGTTGATCTAGAAGTTTTATGGCAATGTCTGTCACTGAAAAGCGTGCTGAGTAAGTACATCACCTTATTGAAGGTTGTTTACTCGAACACTTGTGGGTGTGTTAGAGCCTATGGTGAGATATCCGGGGAGCTATGCTCATTGAGTGGTATCTGTCAAGGGTGTCCACTGTCTCCATTCTTATTTAATTTTATCATAGATATTCTCATGGACGTCTCCCTCTGGTTACCTGACCACACAGGTTGACGTAATCACAGGTGAATTTTCGTTAGACGTAGAATATTTAGATGACGTAGTCCTGTTAGGTGAAGACGCTGACAAGATTCAGTCTTCTGAACACTTTGAGTGCCAATTTGAGAATGATTGGGATGTGGTTTTCACCACCCAAATGCAAATTGTTGCTCCAGGACTGGTCTTCAGCAGTACTGCGGTTTACAATAGAGAGTGAAGTGGTTGAGTGTGTTGACCACTTCACTTACCTGGGAAGTAGGATCAACCCTGGTGGGTTAGTTGCTTATGAGATCTCTGCACGGATACAAAAGGCTCGATTGGCTTTTGTCAATTTGCGCCACCTATGGCGCCGTCGTGATATCCGGTTGTCTATTAAGGGTCGCATGAACTGCACAGCAGTTCGCTCTGTTCTATTGTATGGCTGTGAAACATGGCCATTGAAAGTGGAAGATATAAAAAGTCTTCAGGTGTTTGACAATCGTTGCCTCCGTAGTATAGTATAGGCCGTATTCCGTGGTGTCACCACGTGAGTTATTCAGAAGCTAGGTGAAGTTTTAGAGAGGAGAGGTAAAGCAGTCGACGAGGTTGTGAACCTTCATCGATTGAGATGGTTGGGACACGCACTACTTATGCACAGTCACCGATTGCCTCATCACACAATGTTGGCTGAGGTGGGTCCAGGCTGGAAAAAGGACCGAGGTGGCCAGACTAGAACATGGTTCCAATGTATGAAGTCTCTGACTGTTGGTTTAAGCCATGTAGGACGATGCAGACTAGGTGGTTGGGGTCCACGGGACAAGAGGAACCAGTGGTTGGAGACCCTAGGTGATGGCATGGCTGAGAACCGATGTCAGTGGCGCAGATGTATACACACATTATCCTCATCTTAACTACACTATACCGAATCTCACCATTTTGTCACTCTTCTTTCCTTTCTTCTCGTACTCTATATTTCTTTTGACTGTATTCACTTATCTTCATCCTTCGCCTCACTACCTTTTTACTTGATGTGCTGATATGAGGTGTGGCAACTCGGACCGTTATGCAGTAATGCCTGGTCCTGTGTTGATAATGATGATGATGATGATGATGATCTGTTCAGTCAACTACAAACGAGCACTTGTAGAGCACGAAGAATATAATGACCAGATAAACTTGAAGAAGGATTATCGCTTGTCGAGAAGTATCCTAAAGAAAACAGATACGCACAAATCTTCATGAGCGAATATGGTAGAAGAAAATACAAACTAAGAAAACAACAGTTAGTAGGAAACTGATATTTATTCACCTCGATTTGAAGGTGATTATACAACGATGATGGTAAACCGAAGACTATACGGTGGACTGGCCAGAACGTATCCTGTAACAAAGCCAATTAGACGGTTTCGTATTTCTCGCTTGCTGGTACAATCAAAAATCGGTAAATACTATCATCATATGTTACCTGTAATCGCATCTATCAATTCATGTGTATCTAATGGAGTACTTGCTTCGAGAGGAAACAACGGAGGGCTTATTGTTGACATTTTGAACGTATCCCGAAGAGCCTACGATAGAGAGGAGCAAGTATACTCGATAGTAAAATTACAAAGCCTTTAGTTGATACAAGAAATCAAACAGAAGCCTTGGAATTGATTAAAGTAATTAATGAACACAACAATTTAAATCTTCTTCGCTTCTCTGAAGCTATCGCAATCAAACACCTGAAACCAGGTTTATGTGTTTAGAAGAAATTTATGGTCAGTCTTCAACTCTCCTGGTAAACTACTAGTTTCTTGAGTTTCTACACATTTGATTACATCGTTATCTTGTCATTAGATTTGAGTTGACACTAAGCCCCAATCTTAATCTACTGGTTTCTGCTCACTATGTTACATTCAGAAACTGAAACTGAAACGCATCGATAATTTTATTTCATGATCAATACAAGAGGGAAATCACGAATTTTACAAGTGAGTACTGCTTTCGGTTATTTGTCACGAATATACATTATCCTGTGATCAGTAGTTAACAAACTTTAATTTTTTTAACAGACCATTTCATCTAACTTAAAAATAAATTCAAAGGAGATAATTCTCATACATACGAAAAAAAGTCATTTATAAATGCATTTCACATATCGTGACTGACAAATTGACATCAAGACAACAATTTTAATATTCAAATTTTTCCATTTCCTTCAACTTTCCGAATTCTGGATGAGAAAGATAGTAAAATTTTAGTCATTGAAAAGAGATAAGCCTAAAGTATACTTATAATTTTTCTTGACAACGATTTTACCATTTGAACAATCTTGAGCTAATATAAGTGTAAAACTTGGGCATTGTGGTCGAGTGTAATTCCATTCTGGTCTGTTTATTAGAAATATCACACAGTGAAACAGTAGCATTTACTGGATAACGTTTTAGACACAATTTCTTGTCCATATTCATATCAGGTGCTACTAAAAATACTCTAGAATAATATTCATTGAAAGAAGTAATAGCTTTTAAGAACACTCCAACAACAAGTGAAATATCCAATTAAGCTTGTTTATTTAAGTCTAAAAGATGGTTTTGTATAACGTTTAACGAGTTTCTGGAACAGCCTTCAAAGTCACTCTACAGAAGCAGTAATTATTAGATAATTGTACAGTATAATATGGGGACAGCCTCGTAAATAAGTTTAGGCACGCATCAGATATCATGGCGTAATTCCCTACATTAAGCGCAGTAACATCAGTTTTTTCCATACAAGAGAATACGTTTATTCGGAATTCTTAAGCAAACTGACACTTGTAAACAATTATATGTCTCATCATTGTAATAGTATAACAGTTATTGTATTATATCATATCGTATAAGTTAAATCGAAACAAGTGACTACAATATTATGGTGTTGCTTAATAATTTAGTAAGTTGATGGCTCAAAGTGTATGAAAATATTCAGCATAAACATCATCTCAAAGCGCTATATCGTGAAGTGACAGAAAAGTGTGAACCACTGGATTCTAACCCAGTGGTTCAATGGTAAATTGCTTATCGCGAAATCTGAAGATCCTTGGTTTAGTTTCTGCTGGGTTTATAGGTGCGCACTGCTGAAGAGTTCAATACTAAGATGAAACAAATGTCCAGTGCTTCAAGGTTTTCAACGGTTCTCCAGCTGATGTCAGTTCGTGATGAAGACCAACTACAAAGCTTTGATGAACATTCGGAAGTCTTATGACTTGATGTCATGGCCTCACTTGTGGCTAGGTGATTTAAAGAGATGACTATCAATCAGTGAGTCACAGGTTTAAACTTCACTCCACTTACTGAGGTTTAGGCAGCTAAGTAGTATCACTAGCACTCATACGATAGGTGGGGCTCATTGCCTACTGCACGGATGTGCACAACGTGGTTGAATGCGTTTGTTCGATGGATTGTTAGTTATCTCATCTACACATTTAGTCTGTTTTTGGATTTCTCCGTTCCAATCAACATATCTCCTCAAATCAGGTGGTCAGTTTGGTATACTTATTTCAAGCATCAAAGGTTGACGATTTTATTAAATGGTATATATTAGACGACATATGAAGTTTTACGTTATCTTTAGCTTCTTTTCGATCAATTTATATAGGGAGTACAGATAATTAAAGAGGAATTAAGCTATTCATAAAATGATCACCCTTGAGCGGCTACAGATGACAGTCAGTGTCTCATAGTAACAGAAAAGAAATGACTCCATAGCTATAACGTGTAATCAGTCACTGATAGATAGACGAACATATGCGTACATCCATTCAGTTCCCTCGGTGATCTGTCTGCTGGGATCAATTAGGCAGCTCAATTACGCGAAATTATCCTCAAGCGACTGAATGCTCAGTCGTTCCTTTCATCTTACTCCTTTTTTAATGCAAACAGGAACGCTGAAGTTTTCAATCTACTTATCCTAAGGACTGCATTTTGAAGAAAAATAATTCTGTAAGCGTAACATAGACCAATTATTAGTCAATCAACAAGTAAACACATTAAATGAGTAGAACCTTTTTCGTTTGATGTGTATATTTTAACAAATCATTTGTAATAAACTTACTTTAATCTTGATTCAGCTAGTGACAGGGCATTTTGAAGACTAGGTTCACCAGCACAAGTACGTGTATAAAGTGACTGCAAAGCTGCCAGATGCGGTCTAGGATTACCTATTACAAATATTATCGTAGTTAATGCAGAATAAAACGAATCAGGAAAACATGAAATAGTTTAATACAAAGTAAAACGAAACATTAGTGTTTGATAAAAACTGAAACAGCCAACTCATGGACGATAAACTGAAACATGACCAGGTTTTAAAAAAGAAATTTTCTAAGCTATGTAGGACAATGCAGGCTTCTTGATAGGGGCCAACAAAACAACGGGAGTCAAAGTTTAGAGGCCATAGATTATATAACGAAATTACTCGTATGGACACAGATATATGCACACCTCATCTTCATCTTAACCTGCATTACCATATTTCTTTATTAAGAGGAACCCTTCCTTTTTCATAGCGTTCTACAAACTGTAATCATATTATTTCCAATTTTTCTGTCTTCCCTCTTTCAACTAGTTATCTTGATGGTGTGACGTTAGAGATGTGGAAATAGGCAGCCCCACATAGTAATAATAGGTTCTTCGTTCATGTTTGCCTACCTATATTTGATAGGATTTTTCATCCCATCAGGTCGTCAAGTAAATAACTGAAATAACAACATCTGTATATCGATAGTACGAAAGCACCAGAATGTTTCGATAGGCTGTTTGGATACTGCAATGTTCATCTAACATTTTTGGACAAATGTCAAGTTAGGGACAGAAAAACTTGAGACCTACATTATACAGCGTTAGCTATACCTTAATTTGATTTATGACGTCAACTAGACGTAGCAGTGAACTGTAGAAGACTAAAAAGTAATGAAACTAAGACATTCCATCAAGCTTATGAAGGACAAGACTGGTGGTCTAAACTCTATGAAGAAGAGTAGAGACTAGAATACGTTCACCATTTGTATTAATGACTTTAACAAAGATCTTTTGAATACTTCCAATAATGTTCACTCAGCTATGAAGTTCACCATTAAAGAAGAACAAAGGAATACTGTATTATTCCAGAAAAACGAAAGGATATGTATTAGGAAGAATATTTTTGAAAGACCATATGAACTGGCCAGTATATTCATTTTCAAAGAAACCTGATCCAATGCCTGGGTTGTATCGAAGAAATGAATAAGCTGTAGCTAAAATTTCAGCAAAATGGTTATCCACTAAACTTTATAGATAAATACATGTTGAGACCTGATAAAGATGAATGACAAAGTTGCTTAGAAACCTTTGTATATTAGATTAAGTTTCAAAGTTTATATTGCCGCTGATATTTTAACATGCCGATTAAGTAGATCAGTCAAGAAGACATTCACTGCAGTTAAACGTTTTATCAGCTTCTCAATGAAACCATTACTGACAGTCCTTTTGCATTCAGCAGATAGTGACCATCAAAGTAAACAATATCACGCCTTTTATCTAATATATCATGTCACTTACCTACATATACGTGAAACCATTAAGAACAGATGGTTTATATAGTCCAAGTAAACGAGATAAGCCTTAGGAAGTGCTTCATCAACATTGCCTTTCTGAACACAGTAAAAAGAATATTTACGTTACCAATTCAAGTGAAAGTATACGTGAGAATGACAAGTGTCCATTTCCTTCTTCATCACACACCAAGCTAATATGATGTTTGATCATTGCATTACCCAGCACACTATTTACATCATCACAATAATATAATATCGAAAAAACATCTCTCGCAAGTGGTCTCATAAACTGTTTAGCAGGAAAGGTCATTAGTCTGCTAAAACTATTTAACACACAGAATATACCCGTAGTGAAAAGACGAGAATACGAGTATATATCTATTTTCGTTAGGGTCTCATCAGGCTATAACCTACAAATACATAATTTCACCTTAAGAAACATATATACAAACGTTGAGTGGTTGTATGAGCTGGAATACTGACAGTTATCCGTCAACTGAATTGATTTCGGGATAAGAATTGTGGAACAATTTATTTCAGAGGATTTTGAATTATTAGTGGATAAAAGGATTAACAAGTGTACAGATTATCAATTGCAACTACATTAAAATTCAACTGTTAACATGATGTCAGCTATTTCAGATGCCCTATGAGAATCCTTTCACAAACTGCAAACCAACATCGCGTATGGCTGACAAAAGGGGACACTTTATAACCTACATAGGTTGTAACCGTTTTGAGCACATAAATCTGCCGATCTAGCCTTAATAACGTTGAGCGTGTACGTGATTGGTTACGAGAATATTTGGCGGTCTCGTACATTAGACGTCACACAACTCAGAGCATAAATTTTGGTGATGATGGTCCGTAAACTTCAGACGTTCTGATTTATATCTGCATATACAACCATTTTACCTTACCAAACCCAGAAAATTTTGAAAATGAAACAACTGATTTCAGTCAATCGGAGACTCCTCAACCAAGCTGTACAAAAATGCTATCAATAAAGTCACATGTAGAATGACTTTGAAAATAAATAAACCAATACGACCAATGACACTTATCTGAGATTCACATTTTCGAATTTTCGGCTGGTATAATATGCAGTAAAAAAGATCACAAGTTCTATACAGTCGCACTCAATATATACTGCTCACAATGTAAACACTCACTCTACTTTTTCTTTGATATCACAAGCAGCAAGAATTCAACTTCACTGAACTACAGAAGCTACTGCAATCACAATCATAAAACCTGAGCTTAGTGTACAAAACATCTCATACACTCTTGTTCTTACGTGACCATGGTAAGAAGATGGAAGTCGCATAATTCAGATACAAATAACTCAACTAGTTCGTATGCTATATTAGAATTTTTCACCTTTGATTTACATCTCATAGTTTTTATGTTTTTAATTTCATTTGACCTAACATCCCTTAGTTACCTATTACCTATTATGATTTTTAATTGTAATCCAATTGTAGTTAATAATCCTTATTTCAAGTTGTTATTCATCGAAGACTGACATCAGTTGGAGGAACAAAGGAAACCTGGGAGCACTGGACAGCTGTTTCGTCCTAGTATGGGACTCCTCAGCAGTGCGCACCCACGACCCCACCAGCAGGGATCGAACCCGCGACCTTCAGGTTCCGCGAGGAGTCCCATGAGGAGTCCCATACTAGGACGAAACAGCTGTCCAGTGCTCCCAGGTTTCCTTTGTTCCTCCAACTGATGTCAGTCTTCGATGAATAACAACTTGAAATATTTCCAAATCTCCACAACCCCCTCAAAATAATCCTTATACCAACTAACCTTTTATCCAGTAATTTTTCGAAATCCTGCAAAATAAATTATTGGATAATTCTAGTCCCAGAACGAATAACTGTCAATAATCTAGGCCATATAAAACTACTTGACACGTGTACGTATGTCTCTTAGGATAAACTACTGTATTTGAAGGTAGAGACGGGTGAGACCCTAACGGAAATAGGCACTTGCTCAAAATCTTATCTTTGATATTATTTAAAAATTGTACTTCACAACTTATTATTACCTGATAATTCAGTTAGCCGTTCAGCTCTGCGATCTGAAGTCACGATGATGCCTAATTGACTGATAGGGTTTTGATCAAAATAATCTCGAACGAATGCACAAGCGGCCTAAATACAGAAGGAGGAAAGATTAAGGGCAGTAAAATAGAAAGTGAATGAATATTTCTAGCTTTATTGGATTAGTTATTAAAAAAAGTTTTAATACAATCGCAGCGAGTTTATAAAATCAAAACAAGATTTTCCTGAACGTTTCGCTGTGCACGCCACAAATGGATTAAATCAGAGATGGCACTCAAATTCTTTGAGGACATTCGTAACAATAATGGATAGGATATACATATAAGTAACACAATATAAAAATAGACACCTTGGAAATGGAACGTAAGCAGTTACTGATCTGTTAGGCTTATAATATGCACGTCATAAACAAGTATGTGAATCCAAGTGAGTCTACATGCACAAAGAGAAAGTGATTGAATTAGAAATAAGTCAATGAGAATAGGGTGCCAACATTACCAATCCCCAGATTCATTTGTAATATAGCCTTGGTTAAGTGATACGCAGCTTCCAGTTGAGCCATATTCGATCAAATAATTATGATGAAAGTGTTGTTTCCATATTATTGCGTTGGCTCACCACATGTCCAGGGTATTCACTTTATACAGTTTCGTAACGACCGAGTGCACTGTGCTGAAGTTCGCTTTGTTCTCCCTCACAGCCGAGGAACATGATCATTAAAGATAGAGGGTGTATGAAAGCTTCAAGTGTTTATTCAGTGTTGTCTTCGTAGTATAGAACATGTTTCGTGGTGCAACCATTTCAGCAATGTAGAAGTTAAGCGTAGAATTTTAGGCAGAAGAGAAAATTCAGTTGATAAGGTTGAAAACTTTAACTGACTCCGATGGATTGAGTCGGTGTTACGCAAACCTGTTGCTGGCCGAAGTAAGTTCCAGCTTCAAAAAAGTTAGAGGTAGCCAGAATAAAATATGGTATCAGTGTCTGATGTCTTTAACTGTTGGTGTGAGCGGAAAACCGTAAACTTCCCAGTTGGTATCCGCGTGACAGCCGAAATCCGTGGTTGCAGACTACAGGTGACATGGCTCATAGTCAGTCTCAATAGCGGAAAAGCAGCCACATAAATTGTGTTTCCCCACAGTTTCATCTCTTCTTTATCGCTTTATTTGAATTGATAAGCCTTGATTACTTTCTTCTTACTCCTTTAGCTTCTACCGTGGAACTATTTAGGTTTATATGCTGATACGACCGACACAAAGAAATGGTAGGTCCCTATTTGATAATGACTGACTGGCTGTTTTCATTACAAGAATAGTCTTGTTGGTTGAACTCGATAAAATGCAGCTTCTGAGGGAAAACCTTCCAGTAATGAAGATTTACGTTAAACAGCAGTCAACGTTATAATCCTGTCAAAGGACTGACGCACTCTTAAATTGAGTTGAACTTGAAAAATTGAATGCACCTCCTCAAAAACGAACCACAACCTACGACTTCACATGGGACCAACCTCAGGGCAATGAGTTCTCGCAATAAACACATTAACATTCAACTAATGGGTTGGAATTCCAACATCCATTGGTTCCGATAAGGACGAAACAACTGCTCAGTACCCATCACATCTCACTAGTCATCCCCATGACGTAAATCGCTGAGGAAAATTCTGAAGTGAATCAATCACTAGAAAAACCCTTCATTAAAAATTATGCGCTTCAAGACTAATAATTACATACACTGTTAGATGACAACATAAACACTGAAGCTCGATTCATAGTTTCAAATCAACTTTTGATAATATTTAACAGACACACTAAGTAACTTGTGCAGCCCCACCCCACCCCATCCCACCTCCCACTTACCACCAATTCAGGGGTTTTCTTACGATCTCAAACAAAATTATGAAAGTCTAATTTAGCTATTTAACAAAGACTACAATTAATATAAAAGTATGTGCAAAAACTAATTCACAGGTTAACATTGAGATCAATTTAAATCTCGTTCTACAAATGGTTTTTTCTTTACAACCACAACTATGAGAAACTTTAAAGGTCACCCTGCCAACTGCTTAGGTAGCCGACTGCGTTTCCCTATTTTATGGCAAACTACCTTTTCCAGTCAGAATACCGAAACCTGGTTGGTTATTACACCACTTGCCAGAGTGGCCTTCAAAGTCACCCACAGTTATCCTTTCCAATAATTTAACTAAACGTTTGTTTTACACAATATACAAATACTAACCTACGCCTTTATTTACATGAGTTTTAATGGCAATCGTAGCGATAATAATGGTTACAAGCTGTAAATGTTTTCATGTTGAAACATGGACGTTGCACCACTAAGTCGAATCACCTTATCATAACTTACTTTATAGAAAAAAACTGCCCAAATGTTCAGACACAAGTCCTTCAGTTGTGGAGTCACAGGTTTCTGATCAAACAACGATTTGTTTATCGATTCATAACACTTCTTCTTCCAAGTGTGACTCAATAACAATGAGGCAATAGGTTAGAAGTCTGCCATGACCAATGCTTTCATTTCACCACAAATCACCACATCGTGTATAGAAAGTGAAATAATTCCTCACCTAAAACCCTATGACTAATAATGCTCACTGAGAATTCAGCTTAAATACTTATGAAACTTGGAAGTGCCTCACTTCTTAACTTTCCGACTGTTAAAGAAACCTATCTCATCGATTAAATAATCACAACTATATCTTACAGCTAGTACTTCATTTAACAACAACAGCCAATTTCAACGCAAGCTATAAACTCTCTCTATTTTTACAATTGCAATAGTGTAACGCCACCATGCTTCAGTTTCTCATCATTACTTTAATAAATTTAGGCAACTGGGAAGTTTTCACAAGTTAGCATCCAAATTAAGTATACTAAACTGCAGAAACATTATTAGTGAGTCAAGCATAAAACCCAACACTGAGGTTTACCGGTTCAAATTGAAATACTTCACATCAGCATGAATGACAAGAAACTAGACAATAGAGCATGGTAAGAGAACACATGAAGGTTAGTAAAATGTTTAAAAGAATTTAAAGATCCCCATACATTATTCAGAACAAGAATAATTTAAGACCTTGAGGATGACAAAGGATGTACAAACACATTATCCTCATCTTAACCGATATACTTAACGTCGCCTGATTAACTAGTTCACTAGTTACTAGCCGGTCCTAAGCCGGGGTAAAGAGGGAAGGTTGGGCATACGGCTAGCAGCCATACATAGGAAAACCAATCCAACCGCTAAAGAAACTTCAAAGCACAGACAAAATACAAAAAATAAAAACAAACTCACTCCCCGCTGGAATCGGAGAGACGAAATGACGCCGGTTGGTGAAAGCGTTCGAGAAGCCGATGTGTCTTCTCTCGATGAAAGCGAAAGTAAGGATGGGGACATGGAATATCCGCACCACGTATGAATCTACCAAGGAAGCCCAGGTTGCAAAGAAGATGAGAAGGTATCGCATTGAAGTGCTAGGAATCTGCGAGGAATGAGCACATGGAATGGAAGTGGACTCTCCAAACTCTTAACTGGAGATTCAATAATCTACTACGATGTTGTCACCAAGAAGACACACACGAGCACATAGAGTTTTAAAGTGGCTTTCATGATGTCCCCAAGTACATCGACGGCTCTCATACAATAGGAACCAATCTCCTCCTGGAGGATCAACACAGCAAGATCCAACTCAAAAGGAAGGAAAGTCACAATCATTTAATGCTACGCTACTCACCTACAAATAATGCAGATGAAAAGAAGAAGGAGGAATTCTACAGACAACTGCAATCAGTACTGAACAAGACCTCAGTTGGCGATATCAAAATTTTAATGGGCGACATGAATGCCAAACTCGGTGCGGACAACACTCAAAGAGAACTAACTATGGGTCGAGACGCGTTCGGTGAAATGAACGAGAATGGAGAACTAATTGCAGAATTCTGCGCATCAAAGATTTAGTGATTGGAGTAAGGCAGTGTGTACAAACACAAGGATATTCACAAGGCTTGGACTTCACCAGATGGACAAACTAAAAATCAGATCGACTTCATCTCAATGTGTAGAAGGTGGAGACGTAGCCTACTGGACACAGGATCAGATCAAGAAGGAGAGCAGATGTAGGTTCACACCACTCACCATATAGTGCAAGAAACCTACCTTCAACATCAAGTTAAAAGCCTGCGCAGAAGTTGGTGATGAATCACAGTTCACGTTCAACACCCAGAACAGAGACTGAAGGACAAAACTACAAAGGACATCTTAACGTCAGCCAGCCATCAAGACAAAATGGGAGATATCGAGCAACATCCCTGAAGGATCGGGCATGGAAGAACACTGGAACTCTTTGAACGAGACATGTAGAGAAGCCTGCATAACGGAATTAGGAATGAAGAAGCAAGACAAGACAAGGAATGGATCTCGATGGACACATGGAAGCTGACAGAGGAGGGAGGGGAAGGTGGTGAAACAGAAGATAAACCAGTGCAAGGATGAAGAACGAAAAGAGGAACCGAACACAACCCATAGAACACTACACTGGACAAAGAAGTGAAGAAGAGTGCGTGAAAAGACAAAAGACACTTCTACGACGCATTGGCAAATGAAGCAGAACAGGCTGCTGGTAGGAGAGACAGAAACCTGACAACACTATATCAAATAACCAGGTTACTATCCGGGAAGAGATCAACGTAGACGAAACCAATGAAAGATAGTGAAGGAAACCTAGTTACCACCAAAGAGGAGAAACAAAGGAAACAATGGGCTGATCAGTTCAAAAAGCTTTTGAGTTGACCGCTACCATCACCTGCAACTCGTTCAGAAATACCATCAGAAACCGTAGAATTACGAGTGAACAGAAGCCCTACGACAAAAGCAGAAGTGAAGTCATGAACGCCATAAACTTGTTGAAAGCAAAGAAAGCAGCAGGACCAGATGGAATTCCTCCAGAAGCACTGAAAACAGCCACAAAGACAACAGCAGCGGACATGCTCACACTACTACTGAAGAATGTTTGGAAGGAAGGAAAGGCACCTGCCAATTGGTGGGAAGAAGGGTTACCTTGTCAAACTCCCAAACAACGTAGACCTGGGTCTTTGCAAGAACTAGCGAGGAATCATGCTGCTGTCCACCCCAAGCAAAATATAAAGCCGCATCATACTGGAGAGACTAAAAAATGCACTGGATTCCAAATTACGACCGGAACAGGCTGGCTGACTGGCTTCAGGAAGAACAAATCATGTGCGGATCAAATTGAAACGCTAAGCTAAGCTACGCATCATCATAGAACAGAGTAAAGAATGGCAGTAAGCCCTTAACATCAACTACATCGACATTGAAATGCCTTCGACAGCGTCGACCGAGAAGAAATTTGGCAACTGCTTCAACACTATGGAGTACCACAAACCTTCATCAACCTCATTCAACAGCTATATGCTATGCCATATGATGCTATATGCTGAAGACAGGAGTACGACGAGGCTGCCGCCTACTATCAACCATGATCTTCCTAATTGCAGAGGAACTCCGACAACGTCGACTGAGAATTAATTTGACAGTTGCTTCAACACTACGGTTTTAGCGCTACAAATCTTTATCAACCCCATTCAACAGCTATATGCTACATGACGCTACATGCTAAGTGATTCACAGTGGAAAGATCAGCGACGCTTTTGAAGTGAAGACGGGAGTACGAAAAGGTTGTTTACTATCACCGGTGATCTTCCTGATTGTGGTCGACTAGATCATGCAATAGACAACTGTGAGGAGGGAGAAGATGGGCACACGCTGGCTGGATCGATGACAAGACCCTGGAAGAAGATTTGGATTTCGCCGACGATGATGATTTATGTCTGATGTCTTGTCGCACAAACTCGAAGATCTACAGGTGAAAACTAACAAGTTGACAGATGAGGCAGGGCAGCGAAGACGGGATTTCAAGTGAACGTAGAGAAGACAGGGATGATGAGGATACACAACCAACGCCAGCATCAACGACAAGCACCAATCACCATGAACGGAAGAAATCTAAACGAAGTAGTCTGTTTCACCTACCTAGGCACGACAGCATCGTTTCAACTACAGGCAGCGGTGACGCAGATGAGAATGTGCAAACCAGGATCGGAAAGACAGTAAGACAGGCTTTCATTAGTCTGAACTCTTAGTGGAGACCTACTGCACTGCATTGCTCTCAGCATAAACCGTGAACTAGATCCAGATTTTCAACACTAATGTCAAGTTAGTGCTGCTATATGGTTCAGAAACTTGGCACGTCACGAAAAGCATTTCCAACAAACTACAGACATTCATCAACAACTGCCGCCTACACTCACTCGATACTGAATATCGATGAGATGGCCAGAAAGAATAAGCAATAAAAAAATGTAGGAACGAACCAACCAGGAACCTATCACCCAACAAATATGCAGAAGAAAGAGGAGATGGATTGGGCATACACTGAGAAAGCCATTCAGGGACATCACGTGCTAGGCCAGATAGTCGAGTGGAATCCAAAGGGGAAACGACAAGATGGGAGTCCGAGGTGAGGGTGACATGGAAGAGATCAGACGCGAAATTTGAATCTTATCATGGCAAGCATATTAGGTCAACTGGATAAAGTAATGAGAATCGACGATTCACTAATTAAGTGAAGGTTATATTTACCTTCAAGCAGGCTAAATCCTCCCCCGGTTTCCGCCGAAATGTTACAGATCTAATAAGTAATCAAGTCCTAAGCAACAACATTGAAAATATAACGCTGAAGTTGACAAATTCAATGAACAATACACTGGTATCCGTACTAAAAAATCAGTGAAACTTCACAAATAGTTGGGGGAAACATATACTTGCCTGGAATGCTTCTTACATAAATTAGAATGGAGAAAGTTTATAAACTAACTTACTTTAATGGTACATATTAAACGATTTGGCTTTAAATCTTGTTCCGTCATTGCTTGAGAAAGATCCAGAATGAGAAATAAATGTCGCATCTATAATCAAGAGTACATTCGAAGTAACACGCACATATGTAGTTAACATAGCATTCGATACTACAGTAAATTTAGTACATAGGTTTAGCTTGACAACAGGTCCCATCAGCAAAACTTAGTGAAATTCCAGTCAAAACCCGTTTTTTACATAAAGCTGAAGGTCAGTGCTTACAGACTGTCATCGGTCAGTTAGTCAGTACCTACAAAAACGCTAGCTTTACTGTGTTACAGTTCAAGTTACCACACCTCATATCAGCACATCAGGATACAAGCCATCCAATAAGATCAAAGACAGAAGTGGAGGAAAATATAATCAAAAGTTGTAAAAACTATCAGGATAAAAAAAATAACGAAGTTTAATATCTCGATCACAATGAATATTGCATTTCGATACATCTCCTACTCTAACTAAGATTTATTTCCAGCAATACCATCCACTTTTGTGCTTTGAAGTTCCTTTAGCGGTTAGATTTGTTTTACGGGGTAGGGTTGCTAGCCCTATGCCCAACCTTCCCTCTTTACCCGGGCTTAGGACCGGCTAGTAACTAGTAAACTAGTTAACCAGAGAACAGAGGTCACTGGAGGCGTGCTACTGAAGCCCTATGTTCCACTAGGAACCCAAGGGACTAATAATAATAATAATAATAATAATACCATCCACTGTCTCCAACCACCGAATCCAACTGTCATACAGAACCCAATCAATCTGTCAACATTTCCCTACATGGCTCAGACCAACAGACAGAAATTTCATCGACATATACTACGTGCCAGTTTGACTACCTTATTCCAGCCTAAATATACTTCAGCTAACATTCTGCTTCTGGGTCTATGATGACTGGACATAATAGGTAACACATGCTTCGACCACTTAAGTCGGTGAAGATTCATAATCTTATCAACTTCCTTACCTCCTTTGTTTGCACTCCACACCTGACCTCCACGTTAGCGACATTCAATCACTACTACGAAGGCAATGTTCTCTGTACACCTGAAACCTCATATCTTCCACCACTAGTAACCACGTTTCTTGGTTATATAATAAGACAAAACGAATTGCAGTGCAGTAAACCCGACCCTTAGTGTATTTCCAGATATTGCACTGGTATGATAAATGGACTAAGTTGGTAACAGCTAATCGGGTCCTTTACATATATATATATATATATATATATATATATATATATATATATATATATCAAGGAGCTCTTGCCAACTAATGAATATTTCATTTTCGTGCTTATAACCACGTTATTGCTTAATGTGTTGTGTAAAACGTAACGACAGGCTGTGTTGGTGTAGGTAATAATGGAGTTCCATGATCGTTAATGACAACACGTATCTCCAAATTTTGTCTGAACAAATAATTAATAGATTCATACCCAAATGAAAGTTAATAAAATTGAGATGTTCACCACCAATGCCTTTAAAAGTGGTTAGTAATTTCGGCTGTGCAAACATTTCATCAACAATCTCTTAATCCTCGCTATCGACAAAAAAGTTTCTCATCAAACACTTCTGAATAATTATTCGGTGTTCGCTAAAGATTGTCTTGGAAGTGACTTAATGAAAGATTTCTGCAATACTTATAACCTGTGGAACTAATTAAATCAAGAACCATAATAAATGTCTACGAAGAGCACTGAATTTTGGTCCGCTTATATTTCAAAGTGACTGAAATCCTAAAATATATATGGAATGACATTGCCATCCAACCTTTTGGAGATACGTTACTGAATACCGAAGTTATCTTGCAATATCGTTATTATTTATTTCATAATTTAGAACACATAACTGATACAAATTGGGCAACAAGAGATGTACCATACAATTTAATTAGCCAACACTAAGGACATAGAAAATAGAAGAAATGCTGGGAGAAAAAAAAACAGAAATGGAGTATTAAAGAAGAAGGCTCCAAGGTACATTTAAGGAAGCATTCCTTTCTTCTGTTTTACTTTTCAGTAATGTATTTAAAAAAAACAACGATACAGTATAGTTATCACTGGTTTCCATTCTCATATTGTCAAAAGCTACTGAACTAAGCCAATGAACTATCTGAACCTGTCAAGGGAGTCGTGCGACACCTACAGATGCTAACCTGGTAAAACTATCCTTTACCCCATGGCACTACTGACTTCAATGACTTTTACACATTATCTCTTAGTTGCATCAATACACATCTAACAATCAGACCAATAACACGAAAAACACTGAGATGTTAAACTTATAACAAGGTGCCATAAAACAAAGAAGAACTGTAGCAACCTGATATCCGCTACTCAGTTACAGCTACCTAAAACAAAGTACAAGGAATAATGCCAATTAGTGGTTCAAAATACCGCTAAGTATAACTTAGAATCTTATTTAGTTACAATTCTAGGGTAGCTTTACGCATAAATAGCAAGATCAACTAAAAGAATAGTAATAAAAACTTTTTTTATTGAAAAATATTTTTATCCCTCTGTAGCTGATTACTACTTCTAAGAATACGTTTGATGTCTGATTTTGCTCGGTAATTCCTAGAATTAATACTGTGAAGTATCTTTCATAACCGCTGAATCTTTTGATAATATACCACAAATGGACAAAACAAAATCCACATCATAATTATTATACACAAACACAGGACACATCTGTGATCATAATTACCAAACAAGAGTCAAATGAAAACAGGGATAATCGTTAACATTGGTACTTACCATTCCTAACCGTATAAATCCTGTAGATCCTACACCAATCCGTCTACGTTTCTTTCGTATCTGTGCATGAGCATCATGCACTAGTTGCTCCAATGTTGTAACCAAACGACCTGATTCATCTTCCCGAATAGCACTCCTGAAAGTAATTGATTTAAAGAAGGATACACTAATCTCACTCCTTAACAAAAAGTGATTTTAAATTGTAAAAGGTTTATCAATGGCAATTTTAATAAAATATCTATAACTCCAAAAATAAGAGCAAGCACCTTTTAGAGATAAAGAGCACAGAGGCAGAAGAAAGACATAAGCATAGAATTATAGAAATTGGAAAAGCAAGCTATTGTTTGCTTATCGCATAGGCGCACCAGAAAAGTTAAGACACATCCCAAATAATTATATCACCAGGTTGAGGAACACTGCATTTGAGCCTTTCCAAATTAAAAGGTGAGATTGCCTCATATGCAACAAACAAAACTGTGTTATACGGTAAACTGCTTGATGTAGTGCCACATACAATAGCCAAAAATCACACCTAACCGAGAATAGTTGACGTTGCCAACAACAAATGAAAAATTACTATAAACTTGGAAAATTTTGAAGAAGGCTCTGCTACTGTGACCAACACCCTATAACGTTTGAAAACCCGAGTCATGGAAAACGGTTTCCTTTCTCTTAAAGTAAGTCATATCTGTTCATACCCTTTGGCAGTTACCAGAAGAAATGGAGTAGATACGCCACAAATACGTAAAATACCTCAAATAATTTACAAGGAGAAGATTGCATGCAATTTAATTTCCTGATACTTCCCGTGATTTATCCCTAATATATTCAGCATTCCTGAATACTAATTGAATCATAATCTTTCCTGATGATTCATTACTTCCTCAATGCCTACTTTAAGGCAGAGCGAAATTACCCACCCTACTTTTGCGCTTACTACCTTGTTTGTACAACTTGAAGGGGCTTCTTTGACGCATTTGATAATATCACTCACCTAAGTCATCATACGAATCTTTATTCAGCGTGACAATCGAATTGAATACAATTACAATTAATTCTCTTTATAAATTTGGGTGGTCAAAAAGATAAACTTCTGCAGCAACCGACTGACTGATAAAAGCAAAGTGGAACCTCATATCCAAGTGAATCATCTCAAGTTGTCACACTTCACAAAGTACACAAAGAACAAGTGGAGAGAGAAGGAATGATATTAGAGTAGACACAGTTGTGTGAGAGAATAAGCAGTATGAAGATAAAGGTCAGTGCAAATATTCAAGCTTCAAGGAGTGAATCCACCTGCGCCATTGTGATCGGTTTTCAATCATGTCACTGAGAGTCCTCAACGACTGATTCGTTATCTCCAGGACCCCAACTAGGCATTCTAAATCTCCCCGTACGCCTCAGGCCAACAGTTAGAGACCGATACCAGGTCTTAGTCTGCAGGAAACTTGATTATTATACTTCAAAGATTCATGTAAGAGACATACTATTGGAAACTGTCTTCCTAGCGAGATAGAAACGTTGCGAGGTAACACAAAATATTTATTCATTCTGTTTCTTGTTGTAGTATTCTACACCAGGATTACACAATTAAAACACGCCTTATACAGTGAATCACATTAACTTGGTGCCCAAACCAATCAATCATCCATCATTGGTTTAGATACGTTCAAGTGCATGCATAATTGCATAACCACTTTTATCAGCGTTTACGTTAGAACAATCTTCTAAGGGATATATCTTTATTTACCAAACGGCCAGTAGTTCACAAGCTGGACTGCAAAAAATCACCCAACTCCTCGCTTAGAAAAATAAAACTGCTTCCTTCACTTTTATCGGTAAGGAAAAATGTTCAACTCCAGTTTATTTTCAGTCTGATCAACTAACAATGATTTTTTATATATTCCAAATGGACTGAAACTTTAATCTCTCTCTCTCCCTCTTTCTCTCTCCCTAACACCTTCATGCATGAAGCAACGTGTCATACCTATTGCACGAGGGATAATGATACCAATTGGTTTTCCAAACTTCAGTAGGTGAAGAGGGGGCCGAACCCATGACCCACTGTCTAGATCAATGGGTGATTTCAGGTTAGTGAAGGCTTGTCTTACTGTCTTTCCGATCCTGGTTTTGACATCCTCATTTGTGTCACCACCTTTAGTTGAAACGATGCTGCCCTCCCTAGGTAGGTGAAACAGACTACTTCCTTCAGATTTCTTCCGTTCATGGTGCTTGCTGCTGTCATTGTTGTCGTTGGTTGTATATCCTCATCACCTCTGTTTTCTCTACATTCACATGAAGGACGTCCCGTCTACCCTCGCTGCCTCGCCTCGCCTCGCCTCATCTCTTCTGTCAACTTGTTAGTTTTCACCTGTAGATCTTCGAGTTTATGCGACAAGACATCAGACATAAATCATCATCGTCGGCGAAATCCAAATCTTCTTCCAGGGTCTTGTCATCGATCCAGCCAGCGTGTGCCCATCTTCTCCCTCCTCACAGTTGTCTATTGCATGATCTAGTCGACCACAATCAGGAAGATCACCGGTGATAGTAAACAACCTTTTCGTACTCCCGTCTTCACTTCAAAAGCGTCGCTGATCTTTCCACTGTGAATCAGTTGGCATGTGGAGTCGTCATAAATACTACGTTTTACAACATTTTAAGTCATAAAAAAGGATTCACAAACACTTCTGTTAATATAGCCGAAGGACAATTCCCTTTGAAACGATTTCATTTTGGAAAGCCGTACAATTGTATTTACCTATTAGCTGAGATAGACATTTTCGTACACATTTCAACTTTACAGTAAGTGGAATAGCACTTGATTCTTTCTGTTTCATCCTATGTCCGCAAGATATGTATGAAACACAGTGTAGACCAGCAGCTAGGATCATAAAATAAACTTTATGGAAAATGGACATCCAGCACCCTTTGTAGAGTGTAACAGCAGACAATTTTTAAAATATTTGTACATGACCACAGTGTTAAGAAGGATATGAATTAATTTAGAATTCATAGGTGTATTGCACATGAAATGCTTAAGAACCATTGATAAGGTTAGTAAGAAAAACAGTCTATGCCACACCACTAAGAGTAAAGTACCTAAGGCGTCCTTCGGTTCATTTTAATGTTAAAGAAGTAACCTCACCAATTAATTGACCTGCTGATGTGGAGTTAGGTATATAGGATGCTCATAGAGGAACACTTCAAGTTGCCTTCAAAAGCATGTTTCTGTATGGCTGAGCAAAAAGAGAGCACAAAAGCCTAAATTCATCAATACTCCAGCATGTAGTGGCTATTGTGGCTCGGTGGTCTAGTGGATGACGCTCTGGCGTTAGAAGCCATTGGTTCCAAGTTCGAATCCCGATGGGGACGACACCACTCACTGCGATGCAGGTACATCCAGAGGACGAGTCCCAATGAGGACGAAATGCGCATACTGGGTTCCACTGCTAGCCACTATTCATTAACACCAGGAAACTATACAGCCTGCAGGACCATCATGTAACATTATTAACAAGGTCAAACCAGAACTGTGGAATGGTAGACACGTACACCTACCTTTTAACACAGAAAGTTTATTGACAAACAATTTTAATCAATCAATCATTATCAACATAGGACCAGGCATTACTGCGTAACGGTCCGAGTTGCCACACCTCATATCAGCACATCAAGTAAAAAGGTAGTGAGGTGAAGGATGAAGATAAGTGAATGCAGTCAAAAGAAATATAAAGTACGAGAAGAAAGGAAAGAGGAGTGACAAAATGGTGAGATTCGGTATAGCGTAGTTAAGATGAGGATAATGTGTGTATACATCTGCGCCACTGACATCGGTTCTCAGCCTAGGGTCTCCAACCACTGGTTCCTCTTGTCCCGTGGACCCCAACCACCTAGTCTGCATCGCCCTACATGGCTTAAACCAACAGTCAGAGACTTCATACATTGGTGCCATGTTTTAGTCTGGCCACCTCGAGCCTTTTTCCAGCCTGGACCCACCTCAGCCAACATTGTGTGACGAGGCAATCGGTGACTAGGCATACGTAGTACGTGTCCCAACCATCTCAATCGATGAAGGTTCACAACCTCGTCTACTGATTTACCTCTCCTCTCTAAAACTACACCTAGCTTCTGAATAACTCACGTGGTGACACCACGGAATACGGCCTATACTATACTACGAAGGCAACGATGGTCAAACACCTGAAGACTTTTTATATCTTCCACTTTCAATGGCCATGTTTCACAGCCATACAGTAGAACAGAGCGGACTGCTGTGCAGTACACGCGACCCTTAATAGACAAACGAATATCACGGCGGCGCCATAGGTGGCGCAAATTGGCAAAAGCCAATCGAGCCTTTTGTATCCGTGCAGAAATCTCATCGGCAACTAACCCACCAGGGTTGATCCTACTTCCCAGGTAAGTGAAGTGGTCAACACACTCAACCACTTCACTCTCTATTGTTAACCGCGGTACCGCTGAAGACCAGTCCTGGAGCAAAAATTTGCATTTGGGTGGTGAAAATCGCATCCCAAACATTCTCAAATTCCCACTCAAAGTGTTCAGAAGACTCTGCATCTTGTCAGCGTCTTCACCTAACAGGACTATGTCATCTGCATATTCTAGATCTAAGGAAAATTCACCTGTGATTCCGTCAACCTGTGTGGTCAGGTGACGAGAGGGAAACCTCCATAAGAATATCTATGATAAAATTAAATAAGAATGGGGATAGTGGGCATCCTTGACGGACACCACTTGATGAGTATAGCTCCCTGGACAACTCACCATAGGCTCTAACATGCCCACAAGTGTTCGAGTAGAGAGCTTTCAATAAGGTGATGTACTTACTAGGCACGCCTTTCAGTGACAGACATTGCCATAAGACTTCTCGATCAACGGAGTCAAATGCCGCCTTCAGGTCGAGAAATACAGCTATTGTCGGGCGTCTGTAAGCATGCCTATGTTCCAGGACCTGGCGCAGTGTGAATATTTGGTCGATACATCCACGGCCAGGTCTAAAGCCTGCCTGGTTTTCTCGGGCTTGCTGTTCCCGAGCTCCACTCAGGCGTCGGAGAATTATAGAACTTAGGATCTTAGACACTATGTTTGTCAGGCTGATTCCTCTGTGGTTATCACAAGAGGACTTCTCGCCTTTCTTGAAGACTGGGATGATGAGTGACTTAGACCAGTCGGAGGGGATCGTATTTGATTCCCATATACTGGCTAACACTTCCGTTAGCCTGACTAAGAGAACTCTACCACCATTCTTGTATACCTCAGCAGGTAGTCCGTCTGGTCCTGCTGCCCTTCCTCATTTCAGGCTACCTACCGCTTTCTCAACTTCTTCTAGTGTTGGGGGACCTGTCTCTATGTCCCATTCAGGGTCCGACTGGATAGCGGGCAGCGCAATGGTGGCTGGAGGCCAGTTAAACTGTTCCTCAAAGTGTTCTGCCCATCGTCCCAGTCGCCTCCCCTGCGAGTGAATCGCAGATCCGTCCTTCTCCGCTATAACCTCACTAACTGTTGTTGACCATTTCCCCCCAGTCTCCTTAATAAGTCTAAATAACTGTCTACTGTTACCGATCGCCGCTGCCTTTTCCATCTCTTTAGCCTTTGCTGCCCACCACTGTTCACGATCGTTGCGCAGACTTTTCGTCAGTTTATTTTTAAGTTGCGCTCGCTCTTCATTGTACTCAGAGCCTGCAGGGATGCATTCACGTGCATCCATTAGTTTGGAAGAAGCTGCTGATATCCACTGGCTCTTTTTAGCCATTATCTTGGAGTCGGCTACAGTCTCCAGTGCTGCTTTTACAGTAGACTGAAGATGGCACCAAGCTTCTTCTGGATGAGTGACAGTCTTTTGTTCCGATAACTGCCTAGCCAACTTCTCACTGAACACGGCTTTGGTGTTTTCGTTGTCCAGCAGAACTCGTAGTGGTTTTGTTGCCAAATTTTTTCTACGTCCATTGAGACGCAGGCATATACGTGCTCGGACCAACGCATGATCGCTGTCCAAACACGTACTCCAGAAGGAGCGGCAGTCTTCCACCGATCCTCTCCAGCGATGACTAATAGCAATGTGGTCTATCTGTGTCCATCGCTGAGTCGAGCTCGGTGGACGCCAGGTCAGACAGTGCCTTTCTTTATGTCTGAAATTTGTGCTGGCTAAAAATAGGCGGTTATCTGAGCATAGTTGTAATAGGCGATCACCGTTATCTGTACGTTCAGCTGGGATTCCGAAAGTGCCACCTAAGTGCCTTTCTGCCTCACTCAGTCTACCCACCTGTGCGTTGAGGTCACCTGCAACAACCACTACGTCCGAACGTTTGGCTTTCGAGAGGAGGTTAGACAGTTTATGGTAGAACTCGTCCTTCACTTCATCCGAGCTACAGTCAGTGGGTGCGTAAGCAGAGATTACAAAGAGACAACGGCGAGTCTCACTATTCCTTTTAGTTCTCACTGTGCCGTTCAGCCTCATAGCGCAGAGGCGACTATCAACTGGGATCCAGTCTAGTAGTGAGTTTTCTGCCCTGGTGCTTAATGCTATACCTACACCTGCAAGACCACGAGAGCTAGCTATCGAATCTCCAGAAACTCGAAGGGTGAATTTTGCGCATTCACCAGATTGGTCAGGAGAGGTCAGGTGAATAACCACACTTGGGTCCTGTATGCGTGTCTCACAAACACAGCACACATCCATGCCCGAGTTGCTAGAGTCTTTGCCAACGAAGCCTGTTGGCCAATTTGACGGAGGGTGCGGACATTGAAGGCTCCAATATGTAATTTGGAGCGTGGTTTAAGGAGACCAGTGATGCTGTTCTGTGGACTCAGATCGTTGTCGAAGGCTGCAGAGGTAGGAGAAATTGAAGATGATGCAGCATCATTAATTAAGAGACGTGAAGGAAGATTAGAAGGTAATGATGGAGGAGGAGGATAGCAGTCAGAAGAAACTTGGGTGCTGACAGAGTTGTGAGGGCGGTTGACACTTCCCGGCTGCCCACACCGTGGAAGGCTATTTCTTCTTAAGGTACCTGAAAGAGATTTGTGTGACCGCAGAGCCCATCGGACATCTGCTTGAGGCCTGTCACACTCAGCCTTTTGAGTATGATTATTTTGAACTTTTGTATTTTTTGGGGAGGATGGTCGAAAAGGAATGACAAATGACATCGGATGCCCTACAGACCGTAGGGTATGGTGGGGTGTTATTTTTGGGGCCAACTTTTTATAACCCCCCCCCTTCCACTGAGAAGGCAGCATCAGCATGGCACTGCTGGTCATCCAAGGGAAACAGCCTACTGCTATCACACCTCATCCAGCTAGCAGTAGTACGACTTCGTCCTCAGACCCCCATCATAGTGTAGTAATTTACACCACAACGGTAACTGCTTTTCGTCTAACCACTATCCAACAGAGCTTTCTGGTATGGTAGGACCTCGAGGGAACAAGCGTTCCAGCAGCATAGCTCGTTGAGTCATTGTGATATGCAAGCCCGACCACCTCGTCAAGGTAGCAGCTATCGGTCGGGACATACAATTTTAAACCAGCACTGTCTGCAGAAAGTGTGTCTAGTCATTTTTACTACCTTGGACTTAGTCTATAATTTAGACTACATTTCCTACCCAACTAGTTTTTTCTTATTTTATTTTGTCTTGTTTAACTTTACTATACTTTGTTACATTGAAACATTTCATATCTCTATAATCTCATCTTAGTTTGATTTGGCTGATATTTTTATTTGTTTCCTCACACAACCCTCATTTAATTACTTTGAAATGAAATCACACCATATATATTCATTCACTTGCCTAGCATTTCTGACCTTCAGTTTCCGATATTTTCCATTTAAATTGATGACTCATGAAATATTAACCTCATTCACACTAAAGCATTTCAAGTTCAACTTGTGAAAATGAAACACAAATATATCGAACATCAATAGAACAGAAATTAAGTATTCGTCATGGACTGACATAAGCAGGGGAAGTATTGAAAATTTGGGAGCACTGGACACTTGTTTCGTCATGCATTTAATTACATTTAATTATTTTATGGTAATTAGGATCACTAGTAATATTTATACTGAGTATACATACCATGTTTTTTCGTATCCTGACTCCCATCGAAATTCACGTTTTCCACTTTCTTGGATCATAGATGATTAAATCACAACCTGAATGCAACAAACGTGAGAAGCATAAATACAATTCCACATTTATTACAAAAAAAATGGCATAATACTTCAATATAAAATTACTACCTTATCATAATGCGTGAACTCGCCGATCAGGCTATGCTAGCTAGGATGTTTTTCTTACCGAAGTCGTATTGCTGACTGTCCTGATATCCAGGAGCATAAATATTCAACAAGGATGACTAGCATATTCAGTGACGCTACCTATTCATTGTCAGAAGGTAGAGCTAGAAAAGGTCACGACTAAAAATGTCACATCTTGCTTCATAAAATTCCAGTGATAAAGCCTTTTAAAGGCATATACCTAAGAAAAAAGAACTAAAATTAGGCAACCTTCAACGTCAGTTGGTTACCAACCTATATGAAATGTCTTCAGTCAAGCGTCCCTGGTCAACAAGACAAGCGATACTAATCCCGTTTCTTTTGCAATTACCTTAAGAACTAAGTTTCCATGATGTGGGTACCTTGGAGACGCTAATTATTTGTACAACATCAGGAATATTCAAGTCCCTTTTAGAGAGCTATGTATTAAGAAAAGAATTGGTTGGCATGGGTTATACCAACAGATAAAGACTTCAGGCATTGATGCCATATTTTAGTTAACCCCTAACCTTTTCTTAACCTGAAAACTAGTTCAGCAAACGTTTCACAGCTGCCTATAACTCTAAGCCTGACTACTACGATATTGGTGTGGTGACACTACGACAGATGCTTTATGCTACGAAGGCAACAGTGAATAAAAACTTGGAGCCTCCTCGTTTTCCCCACCTTTAATGACAATGTTTCACAGTTATATAGTAGAATAGAGCAAACTGGAGTGCTTAACACGGCATTTAATAAGCAATCGTATGTATGGGCGGTGAGACAAACGACTTAGGTTAGTAAAAACCAAGGGAGCCTTTTGCATCTTTACCCAGATGAAAGTTGAATCTAGAAGTTCGATACAATGTTCCTACTTATCGTAGAGGAATATAATATTGTGCTCAGTTGATTTATTTATTTTGATTAGAATAATAACGCTTGCACTTATGTAACTAGCTCTAGATCTTGCATATGACTGACGTGATTCAGGATATCCAAGCAACCAGTCACTACATATATTTATGACCCAAGCTTGGCAGCTAAAAGAGCATTATTCCTTACCATGTTGATGACTATTAAATTGCCGGCAAATTCTTAACAATTCGAGTCAGCTGATAGCTCTGATATACTTGGTGAAATTGACCACTGGACAGGTGACGATAGAGTTTAATTTTTCATACGATTTATAAATAGTATTTTGCAGCCTTTCTATCAAAAGACAAATTAAGATTTATTGGAATACAGATTTAAACAGCAAACTAATTATCAACAAATATTTGTATGCTTCTTCGGTGTTGAATGAGGACCTAAACAAACAAGCATGTACGAAGATGGTGTTTGATTTACTCTAGCTTATGGCTGGAAGTGGTAAAGAGGTGTCGAAAAACTACTGATATGAGAGTGGATTTCATTCCCCCTCTAATTATTTATATTCAGTGGCTGAACTAATAGAATTACGTACAATACGCGTTCCTGTGATGTGCACCTTAGTTACATGTCACAGTATCAACGTGAAGAAGCTCAAAAGGACGCCGTTGAGCGGTGATGGGTATGCGTTGCTGGCTCGTGAAAACTGGGAATTATGGTTAGAGCCTAGTTACGTAGGACGATGATCTCGCTGCATTTCAACCAATATACGGTGAAGTTGACTTAAAAAGAGCCACGGTCAACAAGATCCTTACGCACAACATCTCAGTGGTTCGGGTCTCGAAAGCATGAACGGTCTTGTAAACCACCATGATTCCGCCCAGTTAGCTGGGGGTAGTGTAACCAAAAGGTTAGGTGAACCCAATAGTCATTATTCTGAAGGTAATTCCAAGAGATTGAGTATGGTTTATTGTACGAAGGTGAGAGATATTTAGTACGGAACGCTAGTACTGTTAGCCCTAGCCTTAACTGTATATCAGACAGTGAAAACCAACATATAACCGCACACAAAAATGGATCACATCAAGTTCCCACACTTCACAGTAGTGCACAAAGAACAGGTGGATAGTAAAGACTGACGAAGTTGTGTGAGGATAAATAATCTGAAGATAATAGAGCGAACAAATACTCAAGCTTTAGATTTCAAGGAGTGAATACATCTGGACCATTGTGACCAACAGTACTCAACTAGTGATTCCTTTCGTCTCAGCGACCCCAGTCAGACAGTCTACATTTCCTCACACTGCTCAGGCTAACAGGAGAAGATATTATCCAGGAGAATCCCAGTCAAGCAGCAAACTTCATCGAGTGGTGCTAAGTCTTGGTGCGGCCACCTAGAACCCTGTTCCAACTTATCCAGGTTCCCTTAGTATGGTACGTTGAGGTAGGCGGTGATTTCGCATGCGCAACGCATGTCCAACCCACCTCAGACAATTAAGGTTCACAAACTCATCAATCAACTTGCCTGTTTTGTCTAGTACCCTTCGTCTGACCACAACATTGCTCACATGGTAATTCCACCAAACGTGAGCAATGCCTCGAAGATATATGTGATCGAAACCCAATAATCGACTTATGTCTTCCAATTTCAACGGCCATCTCACAGCTAAATAACAGGACAGAAGAGACTGCAGCACAGTGTACTCGTCCTTCGATAAATAGTCGGATATCTCGCCAGTCAGCAGCGTAGGTGGCATAAGTTTACAAACGTCTGTATCCAAGCTGGGATTTCTTCAGCAACCAGCCCATTCGGGTCGGTGCAACTCCCCAAGTAGGTGAAGTGGTTGACACATCCCACCACTTCACTCCGTATCATAAAACTGATAGCTACAAATCAGTCACAGGGACATCATCTTACATTTGACAGGTACCAAACACATGCTAGCCAAACATACTCAGATTTTTGCTCAACGCGTTCACAAGACTGCATTTTGTCAGCGTCTTCAGCCATCAGGACAATATCGCCTGCATACTCTAACCAGATGATTTCCAGGGAGTATGTATATCTCTGTGAAGTCATAAGTACCTAAGGTTATGGCAATTAGTACGTCTGTTAAAAAGTCAAATAGTTACAATGAAAGTGAGCACCCCTAGGGAGCAGTGGGGAGATAAACACTGGGCCACGGGTTCGAGCCCCCCTTCACCTACCGATATTTGGATACCTAGGTAGTATTACTAGCCCTGATAATAGGTGGTTCGCTGCCTACTGGATGGATGTGCACAAGGTGGTTCGATGCATTTGTTTCGTTTTTCGACATTTTTGGTGTACACCACCAGTTGTTGTCAATTCTGGTGACAACCCTCTACACGCATTTGCACGAACGTGTGAGTTTGAGCAGAAAGCTTTGATAAGCGTTATATACCCAAAATGAGCCAACGCTGTGAATCTGTTGGCATATGTTCACGTGCCAAGCCTCCTAGATGAATGCGTTTTCGGAAAAGTGGAGCTGCATTCCATCTGCAAGGTTGTCCAAACTTCACAGAGACGCGCCTCACATTTGTCTGTTCATAAGATGAGTAAGGTCAAATGAACAGATTACCCGGCGTTTACGTTGAATTCCGAGTCGAATATGACGACAGTTAATCAACGATGGCATTGAATGGAGGTCGCGCTATATCATGAACTGACAAAAGTAGGGAATATAAACCGCTGGATTCTGACCCAGTAGCTCAGTGGTAACGTCCTGGGTTCGATCTTTGTTCGGGTTATGGATGCACACTGCTGAGTCCCCTACTAGGACAAAACAGCTGTTCAGTGTTCCCAGGTTTCCAGTGTCCCTACAACTAATGAATACCAACCTGAAACCAATAAATCCTCACAAGCCTCCAAAATGGATTTACGTTGAAGCCTGAGGGTTTTGGGATAACACTGATCACTTTGATGTAGTGTTCATCGGAACTCTATGGCAGGAGGGTTCGTTTACAGGCGAAAGCGTTGCTTGGATATTTCCTGCTCAGGCAGAGTGACTGATCAATCAGGTTGCGTTAAAAACTCAAAAGATCTGAAGACTGAACTGCAACTGGAGCTGAGCCGACCAACTCACTCCGATAAATCACTGGCAAAATAGACCATATTTCACCACAATCAAAAACTTTACTTCGATTCAGCTTCCTTACAGCCTTCATCATACTAGCAAACGTTTTGAAAGAAAAATGTCAACTACTTGTTATCCCAGTTTGATCTTTTTGGTATCCTTGAAACTAAACTAGCAGTTAAAATTGGTTAGGCAATGAATTTGTGATCATCCCTACCACCAGAAAACGTTTCAGTCTCTACTACATAAGGAAAGTGAAGCTCGAGAAATAAGATTCTCGCAGCAATAGGCTCGATTATTTGACACAACCAACATGTTCCTAAACTAACTGACGTATGAAGCAACTTCCATATTAATACCTACATTTTATGAACTTTTATTGTTGTTCAATGGTGTGATAATTTCATTCTTAGTTAAGTGGATTGCAAAAGATCCACTTTTACATAGTTGAAGCTCAATAGCTCAGGTATACATGACTATCACAACTAAAATGGGTCATGAGTTTGAGCTCCACTTCAGATAAAAAACATTCCTGGCAAATAAAGTGACTAGTGAGACCACGGCCTCGATCAACTACAACAAAAGAAAAAATTTCAGCCTACCCTTCCATAAAAAACCTCATAAAGCTATCAGAAGCTTCAAAACTGTTAAGTCTTAATTCGAGATTATTTTATTCAATTTTCAGTAAAACTGTCACAATTCGTTGCGAAAAGTAGTCATAGTGACTAAGCGGTTTAATTAGTTGACTTTCAACTAGTGGATTACTGGTTTGAACTGGTTAGAACTTTAGTTAGCCAGCAGATTATACAGATAACATATCATTGTGAAAAACTATATATATATATATATATATATATATATATATATATATATATATATATATATATATATATATATATATATATATATATATACTCAGAAACTAGTCACAATACCGAGGTTTTATTGTATAAAAATAAACACCACAATCAGCACTCAGATAAGAAGTAGGAGTATCACTTTCCTTTTTATACTTAGTTTATACATGTATGAGTGTAACACAAATTTGAGATACACAAAAGTATTAGAAACACATGGTTAAGTACTACCGATGAACAAAGAAATAGTATATTATTATGAATAGTACTAACATTTCGAGAGAAAACATAAAATAAATATAACGGAAAGGAATAATTTAATAGGAAGAGTTACAACTCTGTAAAGTAATACCTAATGACAAAAGCATAAACCAAATGGTACACTAACATGAAAAATGAAACCTTAGGTAAAATAAATGTGAGTATACAGATGCTGATGATGAGAAAAACCGTAAAAAGTTGAAATTTGTTTTGATAAGATTAATACACATGCAAAAACTGGAATAGTGAGCGCTCAAAGCCCAGAGAGGACGCCTGATGTAAGATTCAGAACGAACTGTCTAAACAAATAATTACCCAATCTTATCACCGCTTTTCACCAAGATTCCCAACTGGAAAGAAGTGAGATGCGAAAACACTTTTTATTATGAAATATTCATGTTAAATTTCGATATGTGTATGAACGACTGAGATAACTAATGATTGTTTTGGAGGCAATGGAAAAACTTTTAGAAAGGCTTCGTCAACAAAACTGAACGAGTAAAGATTTTTTGGGAAAAGACAATGCAGTAAATCATGGACTAACTATCTCATAATGCAATATCAGTTCTGGGAACTCCCACATAAAGAATGAAACAATAATGCTGTAATAACCTAATAGTATCACAGTGAAACAAATTTTCGCATATCCAATATAAATAAAGTTCAATGTAATATTGGTCAAGGAGAAATACGGAAAGCGTAAATGATTGATCAGCATTCGAATGTCGAACAAGTGCATTTATGTACAATTTCAGGGAATTGCAATGAATGTATATTTCCACATGAATAGTCACCAGTCTTATAATCGTTTACCTACATGAATATTTATTGAATCAAGATAATTCATTTGAATTGGAGAGTCTTTCAATTGTTCAAGTCCATATATCTGTCGCCAATCAACTTTTTTATTTGAATTGACAATGAAACCAGGTAAACCGATCAAATCGAGCAGATTACGCCATAATCCATGATCATATGGTCGACTGTACTTTTGTTGATCTTCATTATTTGACGGCTTATTGTTTGACTGATTGGATACTTGTAAACCACCGGTAAATTCAACATATCTATCTATATTAATACGTTCATTTGTAGTCGCATTTAACCATACCATTTGATATAAGTGTGAACCAAATAATAAAGTTGTCCAAAAACAATAGAAGGCCGCATTGATAAAACAGAATGTAAGCCATGGATTACATGATATATATCCTCCTATTGTAATAAGTGGATCTGATAATTGGAGGGGAGAGGAGGAATTAAACATGAAAATGCATTTACAAAGATTTGTTTATGACTATTTCGAAATAATCTACATAACATCAAAATACTACAAATTCTTCTCAACAACCTTACCAGATATTCATTTGGTAATCAGTAGTCACGTGGGCATAACAGTAGTACACTGTTAAAAAACATAAATCTATGAGATAAAGTAGTTAGAACTAGATGATTTCAGAATAGTCTGGTTATGTTTACACTTTGGAATTTCCCCGTTCAATTTCCCACACTCAAATCTTAATTCAATTTTCGTAAACGGGTTCATTATTTCGATTTGTCAATATTGTTACCAGCTTCATTTCAACTTGAACAGATATAACTGAATTCACTTCAGAAACGTAAAACAATCAAAGAGTTGACAGTTGCAAATAACCCTTTAGTGTTTGAAGCGATGGATACTAGGTTCGAGCTTCAGTGGGAACAACACCGCTCCCTGAGGTGCAGGTACATGCAGCTGACGAGTCCCAAACAGGACGAAGCGCGCGTCCTGGATTCCACCGCTAGCCACAAAGCACACATCAACACAATGAGTAAGCAGGCAGGCATAAGAGCTCATCTGCCAACAGAGGTAGAACGATTCGACCGTGTATTATTATTATTTGTCCCTTGGGTTACTTATGGAACATAGGGCTTCACTAGCACACCACCATTTCACTCTCTTCTCTCCAGTCTTCAAAACTTGGCTCCACCAATGCCACAAGCTTTCATTTCTTCCTCACACCATCTCCTCCATGTCACCCTCAGATGGGATACCCAACTCATCGTCTCCCATGCGGGTCCCACTCAACGACCTTGCCTGACGCATGATGTCCCCAAACGGTCTTCTCAGCTTATATCCGATTCAATCCACCTCCACTTTCTTCTGCATATTTGTTGAGTGATGGCTAGTTGGCTGGTTCGTTGCCAGCCAGCCAGCCAGAATTCCGTCTTGTTTATTCTTATTATTCTTGCCGTCTGATCATCTTCAGTGTCAGTGTCGAGTGAGCGTAGGCGACAACTGTTCATGTGATGTACGTCTACAGTCTGTTGGAAATGTTTTTCATAACGTGCGAAGCCTCTCAACCATATAGAAGCACTGACTTAACATTAGTGTATAGCAATGGGAAATTACAAGTATTAAAACCAAAAACTGCAAACAGTTCCCGTAAATTAGCAACTCAGTGGAAAATGCTCTCGCGTTTGAGACGACGAGTACAATATTTGAATCCCAATGGAAATACGTATCAAAATGGGATACAACACATCCAACTAACTAACCCTAAGCAACACAAAATGTACATCTTATACTCCCCAGTCAGGTACTACCAAATAAAAATCTTTAGATAGTGTAGTGTCAGCGAATAACTGAAAAGTAAGACAATAAATAAGTATCAGTTGTTGTGGTTACGTACATTTGATTGTGTCATTCTCACACACAACTTAAAAGTTAACTAGAAATGGTAACGAATGAAGAAAGTAACTAGAACAAAATAGTGCTAAACTATCAAATTCAAATCTGCTCACATCCTTCACGTATATAGAATAAGTACTCAATGATAAATCAATAGCAAAAATGCAAAAGACTTCTGATATTATAGATTTTGAATCTAGAATAAGATCAAACAACTCAAAATAAGTGAAGGTTTGTCACTTATAGGTGGCAGAAGCATTGGTGATTCCAGCAACTAAGACCGGGTTATCTATACACAAGTAGTATGTTCGACCACCTTTGAACTAGTAATTTCATTGTCTTATTACTACTTTTCTTAACATTTTCAACTTCGCTATGATTTCTCTTCCCTTTCCTCTCTTTAAGTGTGTTAATTTCCGATTTGGCATAAGATAAAAACTCTATTAAAACGTTGAGAAGATTCATTATATCCAACTACTAGTTCTTCCTACGATTTGCAGTGCCACATCAACTCCTTTCCAGATCCTCCAACAACAGCTTTTTGATGATCCATCCCCGATCCGTCGGCTAATTTTCGCTGTAACTAAAAGTACGATTTCCAAACTGTCGTAACTGATTAGTCAGAAAGAAAATTTTCATCGTTGAATTGGCTTTTATTAAAAATCATGGGTCGATTAAAATCATGAAATACTATAAACTAGAATTAATCAGCTAGATTATACGATGCAAGTGGATTTTTAATTATGAACGAGAAAGAAAAGCGTAAACTCAAATTTTAGGCATATAAATGCTCATAAATAAGTGTGTATATAAACTTTAAGAAACTAAGGATGTTTAAGAATGCATTTAATACTACGCTACATTGCCAGATAATAACGCACTGAAAAGCAGAATTCTAAAAATTAAATGGTTATTAAATAATGTTCAACATACAACTATTCGTTTTATACTTAAAATACCAATACGAGGCATTCCCACTTATCATACGTACACTATCAACCCAAACACAATCTTCCCACATCCTAGACAATGTTGCACTCTAACACAAATAGTTATGGTTGAGTATATCTTGAATATAGATTCATTTCCATATTGTCTCCATACCACCTGAGTGGGATCAGTTTCTAACTTCAGCGCTGAAAATATATTACAATCAGAGTCATGAGGATAATGGCCTGAAAAACAAACAGTTTTCTCTTCACTCACTTGGCTTGTATTGACTATGTCTTACAGGCAAAAAAAGGGTTCGGAAACTCAGGTGGACTGCACACCAAAACTCAACAAGAAAAACATATCTATGGAATCACATTTACTGCATGCCAACTAAATACAAGTACATATGAACACCAATAACTCTTTGATCTCCTCCATCATAGTTCGTTAACTTTACCACAGTGTACGAATTCCATTTTATCGTTAGAGTTCTGAATTTCTAAAACAGAGGATTGCCTTGATAAGTCTTGCATACCTACTCTTCACTTATTTCCGTTAGGATTTCTGGAAAAAAGGTTTAACTTGCCTGATGAAACCACGACGACTGACAAATGGCTGGTAAGACTGTCATGCATAGATAGGTGCCAATTTTCCCATCGCATAAATACGGTTGGAAAACTGACAACGGAAAAATGTAAATCATAACTAAGGAAAGCTTGGTATTTTAACTCTCCTAGATTGGCGCCAAAACGTAAACATACTGTTTTACAATTTCAGAGCCACACCTCTTACTTTATTAAAGGTGTCAAAGGCGAGCAAGCTGACCGCCATTCACATTCACAGAGATGGTCAAATAGTCTGTCTACAATGCATAATTGCGAACAACAAAATAGAGTTATTGTTTGAACGGCTGCAATTTTAGCAAAATGGTTATGTCAGTTATAAGGTGGATCTAGTTACAATGTATTTAACAAATGTAAGCTATCTCGTCCAAAATTTTACGCCGATGAAAATAAAGTTATGGCTCGCTGGTAAGCGTCAACAGTCAGCCTCTCATGATTGCCCCACTAATTACAAGCCATATAACATACTTTAAGTAAATTAATATCAGAGACCTCGCAATACTGTGTAACAGTACATATCAGCACATCAGGATACAAGCCATCCAATAAGATCAAAGACAGAAGTGGAGGAAAATATAATCAAAAGTTGTAAAAACTATCAGGATAAAACAAGTAACCAAGTTTAATATCTCGATCACAATGAAGATTACATTTCGATACATCTCCTACTCTAACTAAGATTTATTTCCAGCAATACCATCCACTGTCTCCAACCACCGAATCCAACTGTCATACAGATCCCAACCAATCTGTCAACATTTCCCTACATGGCTCAGACCAACAGACAGAAATTTCATCGACATATACTACGTGCCAGTTTGACTACCTTATTCCAGCCTAAATATACTTCAGCTAACATTCTGCTGCTGGGTCTATGATGACTGGACATAATAGATAACACATGCTTCAAGCCGCTTGAGTCGATGAAGATTCACAATCTTATCAACTGACTTACCTCTTTTGTCTAATACTCATTTGTTGACAGAGTTAGTCTCAAACAGTGGGTCAGGGGTTCGAACACCGCTCCATCCACGGAGGGTTTGGACACCTAGGTAGTGTCGTGAGGCTTCTTACAGCAGGTATAGCCCGTTGCCTACTGCACGAATGTGCAATTATTTGCGCAATGCATCCTTATTCCTCTGCACCTCGCCTCTTCATTGGTAACATGGTGGTACTACGAGATTTAACCAGAGTTGCAAAGGCAATGTTGGTCAAACACTTGAAAAGTGTTTATGTTCTCCATCTTCAATGGCCATGTTCCAAGGTCACACAGTAGGACAAAACGAAGTGCTATGCACTTCAACCCTTAGTACGTAACCAGATTCACCAAAGCCATAGACGACGTAAGTTGGTACAGGCCAAACAACTTTCTAAGTGACATACTATGAGCCTTGTTCGGAGGGAAAATAGACTCCCTGATACTAACTAGCTGCCCAAACCCCGGTAATGTAGAGCAGGATTCGAACACATGACCCACTGGCTAAAAGTCATCTACCTAAACCAAAGAGGCAAAGCTCCACCTTCAAATACAACATAGCTGTAAAACCTCCAGAAGAACACCAAAAATCTATAGGATGTAGTCTCTACTTTTATTGACAATGCAAACCACTTGTACATTAAAGAGTGTATGTACCTCTGGACTGTATATTCACATCTTGACCTAAAAGCAAATTTCTAAAACCATGCGTCATTGGAATGAACGGATATCAAATGTATGTTACAAATATTTTGTTGTTGGTCAACGGTTACCACAATCACTTCACACTCTCTAATAAAAACAAAATGAAGGATAGTTTTGAATAATTATGCAGCGAAGTTGACTGTTGTAAAGGGCTTAATCACGACTGTTAGACATATCACAATTACACTCAGTCGTTCGGCCAGTTCACTTATATAAGCTTTAATGTCATCCTTTCAAGATTGTAATTTTTTGTTCGTTATTGGGGAACGTTTATAAAAGAATGGATGGTTGTTGACTAATTTAAATAATGAAAGTGATGAATCAAGAGAACTAATGGCTTATACGGAAGTCGCATCAGCATCATTCCCTACTACAATAAGAGACTTTGTTCTACAGCGAATAGCACAAGTTTCATTGAGGCTAAAGAGACGCATTACTTGTGAGTGTCGACAAACGGCCACCTATCTTCTATCTACACAACACATAAGAATTTGAAAAAAACAGAAACAAGGTAAACAATATTTCAAAAACAATACGATACAGCTGTTTATTTAATACATACATACATATAAACATACCAAATTCTACAGATTTACTCATCTTCGAATGAGGCAGACAACTGAATTCATTTTGCCAGTAAACAATTGTACCCAGCATAAATAAACCACATGAAATACTTGTTGCTAATAAATAGACAATGAAGTAGAAATGATTCTGCATTCCAACACAATTATATATCCATGGACAATGATGATCAAATCTAGCAACGCATCGATCACATGTTGAACAGTGCTTTGATCTTAGTGGTTTGCGAATAAAGCAAGTGGTACAGAAGCGTTGTAATGGATTAGCTGGTATTGAAGTTGCTTGCAGATAATCTTCATCATCTGATAATTTAGAGGCATTTAAAGGGGATAATGCTTCATCAAGCAACTGAAGGATTGTTTCCTGTTGTGATTCTTTTTTCAGTTCGCTTACATAACCAGGATCTTTGGTACAGCATAGGATAAAAGCAGACCATAATAGGGTGATGAAGAATAGGAACCAAAAATGCAGCATCCAATAGTCAGGTATGTGTAGTGTGACATAGAATAAATAAGTAGTTGTTAGGAGTAATGTTGTACTTGTAGCTAGACTGAATAACATGATAGCCTGTTTAAAAACAAACAGATAAATAAATAGAACTTACAATAAATGTTTCTGCTGAGCAAATGTGATTACAGTTTACCCAGTCTGGATCATAGACTGACCTCGCATTACTAGGTAACGGTTAATGTTGCTACAGCTCATATCAGCATATAAAAGGGAAGTGACAACTACCGATTTCCGTTGCACTCCGAACTCAACTGGGAAGTCTACATTCTCCTACGTGGCTCACACCAAGCGTCAAAGACTTCATGGAAAGATAACATGTTTTAGTTTGGTCGCATCTAACCCTTTTCCAGCCTGAAATCTACTTAAACTGACATTGGGCATAGCATCCCAGCTCTCACTAAGATAGAATGCGATGAAGTAGTCTTACCAATTTTAGTGAACATTCCTTCATCTACGTTGAGAAAACCGAAACTTAACCAGAAACTACGCACATATCTGTGCACTAAGCAACGGACCATACCTACTGCATGAGGACTAGTCATATCACCTGGCTGCCCGACAAATAGTTGTTACCTCAAAATGGTGGTCAAACATGTATTTTACAATGACACGACAAGTCACACTGGTAAGAAAATTTGTTCCTTGAGGTTTTACCATACTAAATAGGCTTGTCAGGCAGTGGTAAGAAGACAAAAAGTGGTTACCGTAACAGTGTAAATGGCTACGCTATGATGGAGGACCATCGGTGAAGTAGCACTACTGGCTGGATGGTTTTTCCACGGATGACAAGGTTCATGCTGATCCTGCCTTCCCTATGCAAAAAGGGTTTAGAAAACGACAGCCCCGAAAATGGATTTGGTACCTTTGGTAAGAATTTGAGTTGACAAAACAGCATTCATCGTCTCCTAAAATCGTTCTTTAAACTACACATCAGAGCGCAAAATCTCTTATCTGATAGAACATGAGTGCTGATAGAGTTGTGAGGGTGGTAATGATAGAGGTCAGAGGGCAAAGCTCAACTCCTAACTGGACAGGGAAGTGAAAGTAGTAAGGTGTCTCCTTAGGTTGACCGGCAGTATCTTGTTGATGCCGTCTTCCATATGGAAGACGGTTTAGAAAGATCGACCCGGAAAACTGCACACCTTTGCTGCCCTGAGGTCTTCTGTTACCGGTGACATGGGTTTTCTGGATGGATTTAAAACATAGTTAAATCTCAAACTTCCAAAAAGGCGATCTGTAACTGGCCTCTAACAGATGTCCTTTGCGCTCTGCGGTCAGGTGCCGATACTGCTAATAAGATTTCTTCACATAGATCAAGAAGAAAAACCTCCCATGTTGAGGGCAGACAGAGTGTCAACCTCCCTCATAATTTTCAGGATACAAGTTTCCTTAAATCATCAATTACCTCCCACGACTTTGGCTTTTAATCACCCTTTGCATCTCTCAGGCAATATTTCAGCGTCATCTTCAGTTTGTTCCAGCTCTGCAGACCTTGACAACAATTCAAGTTCACAAAACTTGAAATTTCCTGAAATTCCGCTTCAAGCTGAGCATCAAAGTTTACAATCTTTACACTCTCTGTGAAATTGGTTACTAAACTTCGCTAGCCTAAACTTAGACATCCTTGGCAATGGAGGTGTGTAATGTTTGTGAGACGCACATACAAGACCCAAGTAAGGTCATTCACTTGGCTTCACCCAACAAATATGTTGAGTCAGCGAAACTCAATGCCTGAGTTTACGGAGATTCTGCGATTAGTTTTCGCGGTTTTGCTGGTAGGTATAGCATTAGGTCATTACGCAGAAAATGCACCGTTCAACTGGATCGCAGTTGACAGCCGCCTATGCTGTTTAGCTGAATTGTGCTGTGAGGACTGAAAAAGGTACGGAAAATCACCGCTGTCCGTTGTAATCTCTGCTACCGTAGCCACTGGCTGTAGTTCGGATGAAATGAAAGATGAACTCTACCGAAAACTGTTAACCTCCAACTGGAAGTCAAACATTCAGATGTGGTTTTCGTAGCAGGTTATTTCAATGAACAAGAAGGTAGGTAAAGCTACGCAGAAGGCAGTTAGATGACATTTGAAAAATACCATCAGAACGAATGGGTTATGGCAATCGCTTGCTCAGAAGGATAAGTTTACGATTTATTCTTATATGAGATGACTGGAACGAAAGGTGGAACAGTTCAACTGACCTCTAACTAGTCTCTGGTTGCCCACTACATAATATAATTCTGAATGAAAAACTGAAACAGGCCTCCCTGCTAGTTCATGAGTTGAGAAGCCAGTAGGTAATCTGAAGTGACGTAAGGTCACATGTCCCGATGGTGACATTAGTCCTGGGTCATTACGTAGATTAACTGAAGCGTTAGCTGACGTATTAAAATCGAATCATTCCTCCTAACTTGTCTAAATCCCTGTTCATTTCAATCTATAAGACCATTTACCTCCGTGATAACCATAAGAGAATCCACCTGACAGGCAGTCTTAAATCCTGGATTCTATAATGATTAGACACCGATGTGAAGCATGCAACAGTGACCCCTAGAAAACCAAGCAGGTTTCAGATTTTATTGTTGGTGTATCAATCAGATCTTCACTTTGCGCCGGGTCTTGAAACGCAGTGATACATATCGGCGTCCAACATAGGTTGTATTTCTCGATCTGAAGGTGGCAGTCAATCCCGTCGATCGATAAGTTTTATGGCAATCTCCCACTTAAACGGGTGTCGGGTAGGTACATCACGCTGTTGAAGACCCTGTATTCAAACATACAAACATGTGTTACAACCTATTGTTAGGCATCAGATAAGTTCTGCGAGTTTAGTGTTGTCTGCCAAGGAAGTCCACTCTCTGTAGTGTAATCCAAGCTTGGCAACGCCAAGCTTATGGAGGTCTCCATTTCCTAGTCTGGTTGTGCAGGGATTGACCTTATCACAGGAGACTCCTTACTAGACTTTGAATACACAGGTGACATAGCGCTGGTTGGTGATGTTCACAAGATTAAGTTTTCTGGATACCTTAAGTGACAATTTGCGAGTGACTGAGATATTTTTATCCTCACCCAATTGCAAACTGTTGCACCAAGACTGGTCTCCTTTGGTGGCTTGTCTAACAAAAGAGTGGAGTGATTGAGATAGTTGACAAATTCACTTGCTTGGGAAGTCAGACCAGCGAAATTTCAGCTTGGAGATGAAAGACTTGATTGGCTTTTGCCAATTTAAGCCATTTATGGTGCAGGCGATATATCTGATCACTTATTAAGAGTCGAGTGCACTACTCCTAAGTTCGCTTTGTTCCACAATGTCTGTGAAACATTGTCATTCAAGGTTGAGGATATCAGAAAGCCTCAGGTGTACGAACACAGCTGTCGTTGCAGCATCCGTCATGTGTTGTGTAGCCGATACGTTGGTGATGTAGAGGTTAAACGAACAGTTTTTCGTACAAAATACATAGGTCAGTTGATGAAGTTATAAACCATCGTCGATTCAGACGGTTAAGAATTGTGCTGCGCATGCTATACCACCATCTACCTCATCGCCGAATGTCCAATGAAATAGGTTCAGGCTGGAAAAAGGTTAAAGGTCGGTTGGTTAAGATATGACATCAGTTCATGACGTCTGTCACTATTGGTGTGATCCGCTTAGAAGAATGTAGATGTCCTTGTTGGGGTCGGAGTGACAACTGAAACTGGTAGTTGAAGATTTCAGGTGATATGGCTTACAATCGATCTCAGTGGAACAGATACGTCCATGCATTATCTTCATCGTAATCGTCACTTCGAATTTCGTTATCTCATGCTTTCTCTTCATGACTTCCGATTAATTTTCTATTTATTTCATGTTTTTCATTTAGGGTTATTTTACCTGGATATGCTATTTCGAGGTGTGGTAGCGATGACTATCACAAAGTAATGTCAGGTCATATATGGATATCGAAAGACTGGCTATTTGAACAAAACATACCTAAGCGGCAGGTTGACATATCTCACTAAGCCATGAATTATCCTGATTTTGGTCTCGATCATGTGAGCGAATGCTAATTTGCCTTCAACAACTTTGCGACGGTAGCAGGAATCATTAACTTAAGATTTGGAAATATTCGGTGCAGCAAACATCCCGATTCGGTACTTGCACTTGACCCTTACTTACTACCTACTATACCATGTGAAATCCAAGGTACTCAAACCATCTGTATCTCGTTTTTCGGGTTCTGTGTGACTCATAAACTACTACACAAACCCTTAGAACTCTAGTCAGTAATAAAATGAATCAATAGGGAAAACAACATATTTTGAAATACTTTTCCATGTGCTTCATATCAGTTATTAGTGAACTGTGATACACTGACTCCCAACCAGTACGTCACAGGTTCAAAACCCGGTACATTTTTTGAGGTTTCGGCAATGAGAGAGTATCATGAACCTTTATAATGAGTGTGGTTCATCGTCTACAGAATAAATATCAATGTGCTGAGTTGCAGTTTTAAATATATTTGGAACAAGTGTTGATATAATCGGTCATCTAAGGAAGTGTTTATTTGTGCAGTGACACACTAAGCCTGTTGTATTTTCAAAAACTATTGCGATCCATAATGAAGGTTTGTAACATTCACAATTGATTCACATTTCTTTCACCATCTACTTGATAGATGAATTGAAATCTTAAAGACATAATAATTTGATATACATGTGAAATATACCAACAGTCAAGTACGCTACTCACCTGTGATTTATGGTCGGAAAACCTTTCAATGGCAAAACGCGTTGCTACCGATAATATAAGTAAAAGAATAAATTTCACAAGATAAATTATCCATAGTGAAACACTTGAAGACTGACTGATAAAATTTAAATGATGCATCGTAGATGTAATATCCCAGTTAACAAGAAGACAACAAGTGAGTAGAACTAAAGGTGGCAGTGAGACAGTTATCCTCTGACGCCAAATAGGTGAGTGGTGAAGCATGGAACAGCCGAGACGAGATAGACGATGTGACGAACTCATCATTTTTTGTACAGTTGCCATTTGTTTCACTTTGTCGGTTAACCATGGAACTACACGAACCTATAGGGAAAAGGACGACAACAAATTATAAAAAAAGAAAAGACAGTATAAGTGTACTATTTAACCGGATATTTAACCGAATAGACTGAAATAAAAATTGAGTTTTTGCTTTAAATGATGCATACGATAATGCACATTAACAGGCATTAAAAGGTATACCTTTTCAGTTAACTAAGTTCACTACATCCCTTATATCTCAGTTTTATGATTGTCACCATTCGTCAGCAAGTAGTATCCGCACATTAAAGGAAATTCATGCATATCTCTATTGTAAATCAAGCCCAAACATTTCACAGATGCAGTTGAAGAGACTATCAGAGCCAATCGGATTCTCCCTAATAGTCAAAAAAAGATAATAATGGAAAGAGAACAAAGTACATAACTGAATAAAACACTTAAGCTCCTGAATTCATATGCACGAGTGAGTGCTAATTAGTAATTAATGTCATATTCTTCTCACTGATAATTGGCATCAACACAATTTGTGTAATAACACCGAATATAGAAAGGAGACCCCTAAATTTAGACCACATACTTTCTTGAATCCCTAAGGTTAACAATTCTCCACGATGACCTAACTTGTTATGCGTTAGTTCTAATACAAATTAGGTGAAGAGCAATATCTCGCACTATAGAAATGAACCGCATAGGTTCTAATCTAACACAGGATATTAGTTTCCTTAAAGACGATATTCATGCTTTGCTTATGAATAAGTTCATAACTTTAAGAAGCAATTTTAAAGGAACCATATATTCTTCATCTTCATTTGTCAAATGAAGGTAAGTTTAAAAACAAGTATTCGAACAACTTGATCGTAGCATGAGTGTTTCCATCTGCCAAAGAAAAACAATTACTGGTTAGAATTGAGATCAGAATTTAACAGTTAGCTGTAAAAGTCAATACTCATTCATACTGCAGCAGAACAGGGTACTTCGTCGCTTAATTGAAGCTGACGTCTAATCTGTAGACAACCAAGTTGCCTAGCCCAGTATGTTTCATTGACTCTACCGGTAATCCAAATGGCAGTAGTGAACAATACAGTTTTGCTTAAAATCTTGCCTATTCGATCATTATCTTAGTATAGATTAGGATAAACTGAAGAAAGTTTGGATATAAGTTACACCGAGAATGTAAGGTGATACTTTTTTTTGAAGATTTTAAGTATTGTAACGGAAACTTACTTCATATGGCACCTTCCCTTCATCATTTATTGCATTCCAATCAGCACCAGCCTTATCTAACTGCATAACAGCTTGAAAATTAGCAAAATTCACAGCATAATGCGCAACAGAATTGCCTCTTGGATCCGTCAATTGTAGATTAGCACCCCATGAGATTAGCAGGCGAAATATATCAACTGATCGTACATGCATGCAGGCTATCATCAATGGAGTTAATCCATTAGCATCACGACTGAAAAGTTCGAAACGTCAATCTTTACCACAACCAATAAAATATACGACAGAAGAAAAAAACGTATTTTTTTCTTTTATGCTACAAAACATGTTATCAACTTCTTTATATATTCTGATCATTGATTGACCAGATAAAGTTGAGTCGGACACAAACATATATTCACAACATATACGGCTAGATGAAACGAAGCTCAGAGATTTTTCAGTAGTCAAACTCTAGTGATCATTAATGAGACTGAGATAACTGTGGTTTGACAGATTAGTATTATTGGTGCTGAGTTACTGCTGGCTCGATGACTACTGGTTCAATCCAGGTTTTCATTTCACTTCGAATCATCACTCAGTATCAAAACCTTTAGCAATTTAGTATACTTTTTACTTTTAAATATGTTTCATTCTATAAGTATGTGAGTTGGAGAAGGTGGATGAAGATAACTGAGTTTTCCTTACCCCTACAATGGTTTCATTCAAGACTACCTGTTCAATTACTCAAATCCCAGAAAAATTTCAGGTATCGAATATGACAGGTTCGTTGTAGAGTGTTGTTTTACTGTTTTAAAGTGCAAGGCACATTTTAGACATCTGAAATTTTCTCCTTAAGGGAGAGATAGGTGTTTATGAATCTATACTGCATACTTAGTGAGATTGGATCACTAAAAAATTTTTCTGAATAAAACTCAACCTTGTGCACACTCATGCAGTAGGAAATGAACCACACGCATTGTGTGAGGATCAGCAAAGCTACCTGGCTGCCCAAACCTCGGTAGGTGGAACATGCCCGAACCTATAACTCAATGGTTGAAAGTCAGCTCACTAAACCAATGAGCCCCAGCTGTACAAATTGAGCCATTCAGGAATCAGATCTAAGGAGAGATTATCGGACAATAGATAAAATTGTAATTAACCATTAATAGACCATACTGTCCAAAGAACAAGATACGAGTAGGTTTAATGACAACAGTATTCCTAGGCACAAACCTTTCAATGAAGTTAACTATGGAGTTGTATATAAACTTTTGTAAGAATATGAAAATACTCAGTGAGACTTTGCAGAAAGCGATACCTCAGTCGAGTAGGACTATTAAAAATCGAATGCCACTATAATCAGTACTACTTAAGTGCACATTTTCAATCGAATTTTCAGGTGGAAAATACAGGAGAGGTCAGTTAAAATGTTTACCAATGTCCTTCTAGAAATCCCAACTTAAGCTATTCGTTTTTAATCGCGATTTTCTAAACCTAACTCTCTAATGGGTTTCATAACGCTCAGGGCAGAGGCTATTATTACGTCCTTTAGCGCCTTATTCTTTTTGTACTACCAAAGTAATACCAGTATCAATCATTGGTAAGTTCATACTTCAGTAGCATACACCTGCAAACAAAACCTCTCACTTCTTATATCTGTAAGACTATAGTGTTATGACGATTAACTCAAATGTTTGGTCAACTTCCACACAAAATACGGAAACTATTACCACATGCTGGAAAAGAACTAGGACATGGACGATTATCTACGAACACCATCACTAGTTATAGTTACTAAAGTATACTTTTAAGTCAGTGTTATCAGTAATAATTACCCTTCTTTCAGTTCATCTACACCGAGGATTAGTTTAGCTTTCACAGACTATAATGTTTCTTGGTTGAATGATTGGTATCAAAAACTCGAAAAGTGACTGACAAGATCACAATCAATTATGAATTTCGATTAACACCCTAGCCATCTATCTGTGAGCATTTATTGATCTCTAACTTTTCCGTATAACACAAGCTCCATAAATAAACGGAAGAAAACTCCATCCATTTAATTGCTACTTCAAAAAGATTATATCATACGGTTGATGACCCAGAGTTCCGCTCAAGCATCGAAGTATCTTTCTACATACAACTCTGAAATATTACCGAATACAGAATTCCTCTTTTTCTGAGAAATTAACACTGAAATTCAGATCAGTCTATCTAGAATACCGTTTATGAGTAAATGTGCCCATTCTGAGACTCATAAATAAATAGAACCAAAAGAACTGGGAACAACATTCTCACAGTAACTCATTCTTTCGTGTGAAATCCTGAAACCCAAATGAACAACAGATTTACAATCAGGGTTTTTCAACTTTATTGAGTGGGTATTTCGTAGCTCCATTCAAATGCCAGAACTTCATCTTCGCTACCTCACTGTTAAGTACAAACTGTTATATAATAGCCGTAAATACGATTTCCTTAAAGGAAAACTATCAATGTGTAGCTGCATGAAGACTTGTCAACACATGGTGGATTCCTACTTATTCAAATAACTGTAGCACAATACTAGTTGGACTTTAAGTATAGCAGAGCCAGGAAATGGATCTTCCTAACACTATTCATTTGAATACGCTTCTCAAATTTACATCGGTATAAAAGCCGATGATATTTGTGCTAGGCAAATAAACCTAAGTAGTTACCATTGTAACACATCGCAAATACTTACGTGTCCACATTAATTCCGTGAGCAAGGAGATAAACAATAACTGGAATGTTTCCGATTTGTATTGCAACATGAATACATCCTAATCCAGTGTTGTCCGAAAATGTTTGATCAGCGCCTCGTTGCACAAGGAAGTGTACCATACTTAAATGTGACTGCCTAATAGCCCAGTGTAGCGGAGTTGCAGCAAGATGACCACCAGGTCTATCTATCAGTGCACCTTTTGATAGGAGATAACGAGCGATAGCTAGGCGATTGTTTATAGCTGCCCAGTGTAAGAGTGAAACGTCCTCATCGTCGAGTTGATTCACATCATAACCAATGACTTGTGGGTCAGATGGTTCTACTAACTCAATAACCCGTTTGGTGATTCCATACTGAACTGCTTTGACAATGCTCCAAGTTGAATAGTCAGTCTCACTAACTGGTGGATCGGCATACGATGGATCGACTGGATACGATTTAACATCCTGAAAACGGAGGAAAAAATTAGTGGAAATACAACTGAATTATTAACTTCGCCCAAAATACTTACGCAAGCCTCTTAATGAGTTAACCACTACGTCAATTTTATCTAATTATGTTTCGACCTACTATTTTTCTCTTGTTGGTTTATCGCGCTATCTTGTCCAGGATTGTAGTAACTTAAAATGACGTACTACTATCAATACTATAATGTTTCCGGTGGATAAATACCAAACTTAGGACCAACAAACAGATCAACGTAGAAGCTTGCACACAAGTACATCAAAAGTTGCTACGCTATATAGCAGCATTCGAGCAATAAGTAAACAGAAGTGATATTAAGTTGAACAGAAGGGTGAAGAAATAAACAAGGGTTAGTGAAAATGCTCAAACTTTCGAAGATGTCAAAGAATGAAAACCTCTGCGACATTGTGAACGATTTTCAGTCATGTTACCAAGAATCTCCAACTCTTTATTCTCATTATCTCGACAACTGAAGCCAGGGAGTCTACACTCTCCTACTCAGTTCAAACTAAGTCGGAAATTTAATGGGTTGGTCCCACATCCTGATCTGATCACTAAAAACCTTCTTCAGTTAACAATGAACGCTAAGGTTAACGGTGACTCGGGATGAGTGTTATGATGATGTTGGTGATGGTGTTATGATCAACTCATATGTTTGGGTAACCACATAAAATGTGGAGCTCCCATGGAATGGGAAAATAAAACGTGACTTTATTAACATCTTACTTTCTGGAAAAGAGCTCAAAAGGCAGTCGTATAGAACACACCATCATAACTTCTTGACGAAGTAAGACGATTACATAGGAACAATAATAACAAGCACCAATCAACTATCCCTCAGGTTGTGTCAAAATGCACAAGACTTTTGAGAAACGTTTCCCAACGACTAACACATAGACAAATCCAACGCTGCTTAAATTATGCAGATCCTAGACAGATAGACAAAATCAACACGGGACCAGGTATTAATGATTAATAGTTTAAGCTGTCACTCTATATATCAGCGAATAAAGCCAGAAAGCACTTAATTGAAAGATGAAGAAATAAACAAGAAAGCAGTTGAAAGTGGTAGGAAGCAGTAGAAGGAGAGAAGGTAGGAATGAGATTACTGAAATTCAGTTTGACGATTAAAATGAAGAAAGTGTGACAAGACATGTGTCCCTGACATCGGTTCCGAGCAATATAACTTCTCGTTTCCAACCACTAGTTTCTGTTTCTACGCACTCCAACCATTTCCCTATACAGCCCAGACCAGTAGTCAAAGACTTGATGCAATTATGCCAGGTTTGTGGCTCGCCACCCCTAACCTTTCCCCAGCTAAAACCTACCTCAGCCAACGCGTTCGCCGTGAAACCTGAAGGTCCTGAGTTCGACCCCTAGCCGGGTCGTGGGTGCGTACTGCTGAGGAGTCCTTTAAAAGGACGAAACAACTGTCCAGTAACCTCGCCTGGCTAACTAGTTCACTACTTACTAGCTAGTCCTAAGCCCGAGTAAAGAGGAAAGGTTGGGCATAGGGCTAGCAACCCTACCCCACAAAACAAATCTAACCGCTAAAGAAACTTCAAAGCACAAACGATATATAAAAAATAATAACAAAATTATTCCTCGCTGGAATCGGAGAGCCGAAATGACACCAGTTGGTGAAAGCCTTCGGGAAGCCAATTAGCCGATATACCTTCGCCTCTCTCGATGAAAGCGAAAGTAAACGTGGAGACATGGAATGTCCGCACAATGTTTTAACCCAGCAAGGCAGCCCAGACTGTAAACGAGATGAAGAGGTATCACACTGAAGTGCTTGGAACTTGCGAAAGCAGATGGAATGGGAGTGGACTCTCCAAACTGTCAACTGGAGAATCAATAATCTACTCCGACATTGTCACCCAGACAACAACCACGAGCACACTGAGTTATGGAGTGGCTATCATGATATCCTCAAGAGCATCGAAGGCTCTCATGCAGTGGGAACCAATCTCCTCCAGGATCATGGCAGCAAGATTCAACTCAAAAGGACGGAAGGACACAATCATACAATGCTATGCACCTACAAATAATGCAGATGAAGAGAAAAAGGAGGAATTCTACAGACAACTTCAATCAACACTGGACAAGACGTCAGTTGGCGATATCAAAATTCTAATGGGCGACATGAATGCCAAACTGGGAGGGGACAACACAGGAAGAGAACTAACCACGGGCTGAGAAGCGGTAGGTGAAATGAACGAGGATGGACAACTGTTTACAGAATTCTGTGCATTCAACGATTTGGTGGTTGGAGGCAGTGTGTTCAAGCACAAGGATATCCACAAAGCGACATGGATTTCACCAGACACCAGTACACACTAAAAATCAAATCGACTTTATCCTAATCTCAAGAAAATGGAGACGCATTCTACTGAACACAAGGTCAAGAAGAGGAGCAGATGTAGGTTCAGACCACTATCTAGTGCAAGGAACCTTCAAAATCAAGCTAAAAGACTTCAAGGAAGCTGGTGATAGACCACAGTTCAAGTACAACACTCGGAACAGAAACTGAACTGAATGACGAAACTACAAAGGAAATCTTCACGACAGCCAGCCATCAAGACAAAATGGGAGATATCGAGCAACATCCCTGAAGGATCGGGCATGGAAGAACACTGGAACTCTTTGAACGCGACGTGTAGAGAAGCCTGCATAACGGAATTAGGAATGAAAAAGCAAGACAAGACAAGGAATGGATCTCAACGGACACATGGAAGCTGACAGAGGAGGGAGGGGAAGATGGTGAAGCAGAAGATAAACCAGTGCAAGGATGAAGAACGAAAAGAGGAACCGAACACAACCCATAGAACACTACACTGGACAAAGAAGTGAAGAAGAGTGCGTGCAAAGACAAAAGACACTTCTACGACGCATTGGCAAATGAAGCAGAACAGGCTGCAGGTAGGAGAGACAGAAACCTGACAACACTATATCAAATAACCAGGTTGCTCGCTCTCTGGGAAGAGATCAACGCAGACGAAGCCGATAAAAGATGATGACGGAAATTTAATTACGAAAGAAGAGAAACAAAGGAAACAATGGGCCGACCACTTCAAGAAGCTCCTGAATCGACCACCACCGGCACTTCGTCCAGAAATACCACCAGCAACCCAGCCGCTGAACTACAAGTGAACATAAATCCTCCAACAAAAATGGAAGTCATGAACGCCATAAAGCTACTGAAATGCAGGAAAGCAGCAGGACCAGATGGGATCCCACCAGAAGCACTGAAAACAGACGCAGAGACAACAACGGACATGCTCACACCACACCACTATTGCAGCAGGTGTGGAAGGAGGAGAAGGTACCTGCAGATTGGAAGGGTTACCTTGTCAAACTCCCGAAGAAGGGAGACCTCAGTGTTTGCAACAACTGGTGTAGAATCACTCTCCTGTCCACCCAATGCAAGCAAAATGTTAAGCCGCATCATCCTGGAGAGGCTAAAGGATGCACTGGATTCAAAACTACCACCGGAACAGGCAGGCAGGCAGGCAGGCTTCAGGAAGTACAAATCATGTGCAGACCAAATTGTAACGCTTCGCATCATCATAGAACAGAGTATAGAATGGCAGTAAACCCTCTACCTCAACTTTATCGACTTTGAGAAGGCCTTTGACAGCGTCGACCGAGAGGTAATTTGGAAACTGCTTCGTTACTACGAAGTATCGCAAACCTTTATCAGCCTCATTCAACAACTATATGAAGACGCCACATGCCAGCCAAGTAATTGACAATGGGAAGCTCGGTGATGCTTTTGAAGTGAAGACGAGAGTGAAACAAGGTTGCCTACTATCCCCCATGATATTCCTGATTGTGGTCGACTGGACTGGATCATGCAGCAAACAGTGGGGAGCGAGAAGAGGAGGATACGCTGGACTGCGGAAAAGAACCTAGAAGATCTGGATTTCACTGATGACTTGTGTCTGCTATCACAAACTTGAAGATCTACAGGCGAAAACTAACAAGTTGACAGAAGAGGCAGCGAAGACGGGATTTCCTTTAGGTGAAGGTAGAGAAGACAGACGTGAAGATACCGCACCAACAACAACGACAAACTCCAATCACCATGAACGGGAGAAACTTAAAGGAAGTAACCTCCTTCACTTATCTAGGAAGCACTGTTTCAACTACAGGTGGCTGCACAGACGAGGATGTCAAAGTCAATCGGAAAAGCAAGACAGGTGTTCATTAGCCTGAAACCAGTGTGGAGATCTTCTGCACTCCTCTCAGCATGTGGAACAACATCCGGATTTTCAACACCAACGTCAAGTCAGTGCTTCTGTATGGTTCAGAGACTTGGCGCGTCACGAAAGGGATTTCCAATAAACTGCAGACATTCATCAACAACTGCCTACACTGGCTCGCCACTGAAGATCAGATGGTTAGAAAGGATAAGCAACAAGGAGCTCTGGGAACGAACCAACCAAGAACCTATCACCCAATAAATATGCAGGAGGAAGTGGAGATGGATTGGCCATGCACTGAGAAGGCCGACTGAGGACATCACGCGTCAGGCCAGTTGCTCGAGTGGAATCCCCATGGGAAGCGACGAGCTGGACATCCGAGGGTGACATGGAAGAGATCGTGTGAGGAGGAAATGAGAGCTTGTGGTTTGTCGTGGAGCTAGGTTCAAAGATTGTAGAGAACAGAGTTCACTGGAGACGTGCTACTGAAGCCCTATGTTCCATTAGGAACCCAATGGACTAATAATAATAAGAATAATATATATAGAAGCTACACTCTCAGACACTTCGTCACACTGGTTCCCCTGTGGTTATCACGAAAGGATTTCTCCCTTTCTTGAAGACTGAGACAATCAGTCGCAGAGGATCATATATGACTACCATACACCAGCTAACACTTCAGTTAACCTGACCAATAATCCACGACCATTGCACCTTAGTACATCCGACAACAATCCTTCTGACCCTGCTACTATTCCTCGTTTCAGATTACCTACAGCTTATTTTTAACTTTTGTGAGTATTGCAGATACTACTTCAATGTTCCGTTTGGGATCCGACTAGATAACGGGCAATGGAATACTGGATGGAGGAAGTGTTCTGCCCCAGTTTCCTTGATAAGTCTAAACACCTATCAAATGTCACCTGTTTAGTCTTCGCCAACCATCAGCACTTGTGGTCATTGAGTAGATTTTTTGTCAGTCTACATTCGATTTGCTTCCGCTCCTTATTCTCTTCTGCAGGGATGCTTTTAACGTGCATTCATTAATTTAAAAGTCGGTGAGATTCATTGGCTCTCTCTAACCACTTTTTGAGATAGTTTCGGTCTTCCGCGCTGTTTTTACAGCAGAGTGGAGGTAGCGTCAGGCTTCTTCAAGACGAGTGATGTTCTGTACCGATAACTGGCTAGCCAATTTCTTGCTGAAAGCAGCTGCGCTCGTAACTGTATCATTGCTGTAGTTTTCTATGTCAATTTAGGTGCGAACAGGCGTGATCGGACCAGTGAGCAGTAGATATCCAAACATGTGCTTTAGAAGGAGCGGCAGTCTTTTGCCGATCCTCTCCAGCGACAACTAATAGCAATAGGGTCTGTGTCCAAAGCTAAGCTGAGATTAGTGCATGTCACTTCAGATACTGTCTCTCTTTATGTCTGAAGTCCGCGGTGGTCAGAAATGCATTGCAGTACAGTTTTAGTAGGCGATCACCATTATGCGTCAATGCCTTTCTACCTGACAGCCTACCCACCTCTGCATTAAAACCGCATGCTACTACAACCAGGTCTGAACGTTTGGCTCTTAGTAGCAGGCTAAGTACTTTTCAGCAGAACTCATCTTACACTTCATTAGGACAGCAGCCAGCGGATTAGTAAGCACACATTACAAAGAGAAAACAGTTTCGTTATTCCTTTTAGTCCCTGTTGCGCTGTTGTCGAAAAGCGCATATGCAGCTACCAACTGGGATCCAGTCGAAAATGACACTTTCTATCTTAGCACTAAGTGCTAAATACCAATGAAAATTTTGCGCATTGTGGAATGAATTACTACACTACAAATAAATTTCATTATGACAAGTTTACAATGATAAGTTATTTATTTTGGCAATATTTCGAGTAAAATTACTGCTCGTGATCACACCAACAGTTGGAATTCTTTTAGTACATACGGTCTAATGAATCAGAAATACCGAATCAATTATTTATATGACCGCTGAATTAAAACAATTCCGGCTGCCGATGTTATCACGGATAGGAGTTCTGCTCAAATCCAAAAATAATTAAAAAAAAACTTATCATTATGTAAATTTGTCATTAAAAAGAACTTTATT